GCTCGGCCTGCCCCTCCAAAAGCTTTGGCACATCCTCACTCCTTGTCTTTCATCCAAACATTCAGGTGTTCATCCCCTACCGCCCTCGCTTCCCAATGCAAGTAAAGGCAATCTCTAAAACTAAACCTCTCTGTAATATGCTAGAACAGAAACATCCAACAGATCCTGGGAGATCTGGAAGACCAGTTCCAAAGAAACAAAGACTTCATCGACGCTTGAGGATCCGTTGCACATGTGCAGGCCACATAGTTTCAAGGAATAAACATGAACAAATCAAATCTGCTACGAGCATATATGATAGAATATCCAATACAAATATCTTTATGTAATCTAAGTATCGATCTATAGAACATCCAATATCTATAGATTATATAATGTACAATAATATACTATAATCAAATAAGTATAAATTGGACCCGTGTCCTCAGCAACACTTCTTTTCGGCCTTTCGATCCTTTGGCCTTGCAGATTCAGCAAACACGATGAAACCGTCCGTTGTCCTGGAGTGAATCTGTTGACCGTTACAGCCATGTTGAGCCTATCCTCAGTCATAAGTCATTCATATATCATATATGATAAGCCAAGATAAGCCAAGATAATATGAAAGCGAGTTCAGCAATACACCTCGAGGCCCGGATGTCGAAATGCACTGGACTGGACCCTACAGTAATGTGTTCATTGTCACTGCCATGACCATGACCCAATCACACCAAAAAAACACATGCATGGCAAGTTGTTTTTTCATTTTTAGAACCAATCTTAAACCAAACCCGACAATGGTGCCTGGTAAACGGCGCTGACCACTTGACTTCGTTCGCTGGAGCGCAAATGGAGACTCGCCGGGCAGGACCTGAGCGGCAAGCCCCGCTAAAGCCGCCCGTGCGCGGCGGTAAAGCCGCGCGTGCGAAGCGTTTCAAACGTACGAACAAAAAGTGAGACTCGGTAAATGAAAAGAAGTTCGATTCTATTCAAGTGACAAGATGTGATTGACATGCTAGTCTGTACTATAAGTCCATACTTACTTTCACAAACTGTTCATTATCACCAAGAGCATGGATTTGGTGGGGCCGTGACAAAGAGGACACTAAGGCCTTGACGTTTCCTCCGCTTGGTACCTGACAACAGTGAGCAAGCCTGCAAGTGACTGAGGCAATGTAGATGTGAACTCATGCAAACCTTCCTTTTCGCAACATCATCTTCCTGCCAACAATTGCAAATTTAGCGTCACAACTTGTTGTTGTAGTCCATAACTTCTGAGTAAACCTGGACACAGATTTCTTGAGTCTGACATCTTTCATACGTCTCCTTCCTGTGGATGTGTCTGGAACGTACATAACTTCAACATTGCGCACGAATTCAAGTGAAACCAACGGCGGTCGATCTTCGTCTTTTTACTAGTACAGTGGATCTTTCATTTTTTGCGGTCAGAAAACCTCAGACCTGAAATTGCTCTGTGTCCAGGAAGATGCTGGTCATCTTATTTGGACGTTGCCTTAGAACAACATAACGTTCCAACGCATCCTCTGCTGGGGGGCGTCCGAAAAAATCAGGCTACCCCACGGTCGGGCAGTCTTGCTGGCCCGCTCCTCGACACAAAGGAACGCATTGTTATTCTTTTTTGCCTTTGACCAAGAAGGAGCCATGTTACATGCTTGTACCTCGTTCAATACCTGAAAACACATGAAAACACGACATCTAAACATCAGTCTTGAATCAAGATCTCGTGCCTGGTATACTGTGGAACTTCTGAAAGCACATAGTGCCACAACGTCATGAGTCTTTGGATTTTCTGTCCTCCGGGTACTTCTCGGACATGAAGGCTGCGAGCTTCACCCGCAGGCTCATGGCGGCCTTGAATTTCTAGAAGGCAGGTAGTAGTAGTGGGCAGTACCGAGCAGGTCCACAAATGTGAGAACGAAACGGAATCCAATATTCAATATGATGTACTGTTCAGGCTTCAAAAAACAGTGATCCACAGTGACACATCAGTGGGTCATTGGATATCTGTCTTTGAAAAGGTGCAGGCCTTTGCTTCGATCAAGAAAGTACGTTCTTTCCATCCCCTCTCCAGGCCTAGGACAGCAAAAAACATTCGAAGGCATAGAGTCTCAAGAAACTTGAGCTAAGAATGACAGATGAAGATGGCTAAAGCAATTGAGATCAGGACTTTTTTCGTATTCTTCCTGAATAGAAGAGCTAAATTTGACTTCCCGGTACCTTGTTCTGGAGCAGGCAGTGGTCAAGTTCCAATATAGAGACATGGCACTTGACTGAGGTATTCAGCCAATCAAGCCACCTTTCTGAGGCACTGACGGCTTCAGACCCTGAGTGCATCTTTCGTACGTCAGTAATTAAAGTAAGTCTTCGAAAGAACTAAACATATGTCAAGTTATCACACCAAGATCGCACGTCAAGTTGTTAGCGCCGGCTGCCGGCCTTCTTGCGCAGCGCACTGCCTATGTCGATGAAGAGTTCCAGCATCCCTTCCTGGACCGGAGGCAATCAACAAAATCATCCACCTGCGCCTTTTAGACTAACCAACATGCCGTTCTCTCCCGACGTAGTCACTCGGAACCCCACGAAGTCGATACTCATCAAGGGAGCTTTCACCACCTGGGGCGAACCGGGCCGGACGTGGCTTCACTCCACGAAATGAGAATGGATGCCCTCCTGTGGTCCTACCATGCTTTGCGGTCGCTGTGAAGTGATAACCCACAGCCCACAGCCATCCTTTTCATCTTCATGCTTCCTTCTGTGAGTATCTCTCTTCATCTCTCTTCCATTTTCGTTGCACGTTGCACTATCATGCGAAAAATCGTGCGCGACGTCATCCCGCCGAACGCCATCAACCGCCGCAGGGCACACTGCCGCCTGTGACATGAACCATTGCATGGTCGATTTTTGACTCCACCTCAAGTCCAGCAGGTCGGTTTCAGAAAAAGAAAAATAACACTCAAACGGAGACCGTCAACGGTCACCTGCGAAACATAACATCTTTGCAGCCAACAGAACTGCCATGTGGCCACTCTTAGTCTTGTATACTCTTATATCCATTGGATGGCAAAACTGTTGAAGTACCCCTTTGGCAAGCGGCTTGTCGTACTTCTTGAGTGCTTTCCGAAAGCCGCTAAAGTTTACTTGGGAAAAGCTCCTGAGCTGACTGAGTGTGCATTCAAGTCCCTTTGCAGATAGGTTTTCCCTCCAGGTCAAACGTTTCCAAGCCGGGTGCTTGAGGTTGCAAATGTCAGTACCCAGCTCCTCGTACCTTCGTATTCAAGTTGATTGCTTGGGTATAGACAGACCTTAGCACCTTCTAAGATCAAGAGTTGCACATCCTCCCAAACCAAGCTGGAATAAGAATGGAAACAAGAGTTATGTTATGCTATTCCTAAAGTCTAGTGGCTACAACACCCTCATGTTTGACCCGTGCACAGCTCGAAATTGCCCCTCTGACTCTGCCTGTGGCACAGGTCCTCGGTCTGATCACCTTTCTGAGCTTCCTGGCGAGCGGGAACGAACCGCGAACCACTTGACGTCCAGGCGATGCAGCAAGCAACAGGCGATGCCATTTTCGCGGGACCGTTTTAAGGTAATTAGTAATTACCGATTCGGTAGATTCATGATGATTCATGATAACTTGATGATTCATGAACGGTGGGAAACAATGATTCATGAGCCTCTCCTTTAACAGCGCCTCCAACTTCTCCTTGGTTGCTGCCTGTGGACAAATCGTTCGCATCCACTGAAATGGGGATCGTCTCAGTGCATTCAAACAACTTCAGCACCTCTTCAAGGATCACGAACTTGCTCACCCGGTTCAGTTCGCCAGCTGGGAGAAAGACACAACTTACATGACTGTAGACATGAGTTGACACCAAATACACACGACTTGCTGGCAAAAAAAACACAACAACTTGGCTTGACTTTCAACCTTCAAACACAATCAAACACGACACACACAAAGAAAAAGAAACACAATGCATCGAAATCCAAACGCTGAGTGCGGGCACTGAGGATTTCGTTCAGCCTCGCCTCAAGGAAATCCATCTGCCCGAAACATATACCAACAAAATCCATCCGTCCACGAGAGGATCCCCGGTCCAGTCAACGCCTCGTTTCGCCTCGTCACGCTCAGAACGCGCCTCCGGTGGACGATCGGGGTTGGGGCCCAGCCGCAAAAAGGATGAGGTCCAGTGAGTGACCTCGAGGGTGCAGAGAGCGAGTGCCGAGATGCCGAAGGGGGGGAGAAGTGAGATGGAGATGGACGAACGGCGGACACCGTGAAGATCAATGGAATTAGACATGAAGATAGGTGAAGTATCACAAAACACCATGGGAGAGACGGGATGATATACGAGATGAGGCGGGCGCTTGCTATAAGGAGAGAAGAAGAAGATAAGTCAAATGGCATGGAATGAAGGGAACAATTTAGGTTGAACGAGAAGAATAACCCCTGCCGCCCCTGCCAACCATTTTGCACCAAAGCCAGAAGCTTGACAAAGCCCTTTTAGACACGTTGTCAATTCTACAGTACTTTCTACAGTTTGGCACAACCATTATCGAGTCTTTGTTGGTGAACAAAACACCCAACCTCCTTCACACTGGCATTGTCTTTGTCCTGGACAATGATAAGTGCGGGCTTCAATCCATGGCCCGCGTGCCTTCGGCGTTGCCGATCAAACAAAGCCCCTGTCCTGCCCAGTGAAAACCTTGATCGCTTTCTTCAGCTCCTTGGCGCAGTACGTGAGAATCTTACATATCTCAGCATTCGCGTATCGTCTACCATGTCTGCTACAGTGTCGTTCTGCCTCTCTTCAAGGCATTTTGAGGTACTGGCATTGTACTGAATGTAGTTCCCTCTGTACTTCGGTATGTCAATCTTCTCGAGCTCTTTTCCAAACCTTGCTTCCAAGCAGGCATAACACGGAGAGGTGTAACCTTTCTATACAGTAATTCTACTAACTGTGAAGAGCAAACCGCGCTCTTTTCTGGCCGACTTCTCAAGCTCTTCTTGGATGAAGCTTGCTTCTGGAGCGGAAGCTTTGCTCATCCGAGACCTCAGATATGAGCATCGAGACCCTTTGGATTTTGCAAACCAAAGACTGTTCATCTCCAAAATACTTCGCCGCAGCATGCAAGCCAAACAAGGCAACAAAACAATACTGAAATTTGGCGGAGATTCTGTGGTGACTTCGAGGCCTCCGGGAGTTAGAGCCTGGCAAAGGGCTTCCAACTCACCCTCATCAGCCTTCGGCACAACGGCTGTGACAATGCATGCTCGACCATCGCCACCTCCAGGGTTGACGAATTTCTGTTTGGCACTTGGACAGCCTGCCAGAGTCTGCTAGCTGTAAACTCCAGAGAAGCCACTGCCATTGATTTATTCGACTGCTGACTACTGAACAAACACTCCACAATAACCACAACCTTGCTGCGACAGTCTCCCAGTCCTGCCTGGGGCTATATATCTCCTGAGCGGTTCAAACAACTTGGTAATCCCTTCAGCCAGAACCATTACCCATGTGCTCCGCCGACCCCGGTGACAAAGGAGCGCGCGGTCGGAAAATCAATCAATAGTCACGTCACAATTAGTGCTAGCGGCTAACGAACATTCATTATGACTATAACTAATGTCAATCAGGAAATGTGCAAGCACCAGCAACTGCCAAAGGTTCAACCATGTTCAACCTGATGCCCTGCAAGCGACGCGTGAAGCCCGAAGTCAATCCATCTGAGGCGCTCGAAAAGGTCGATCAACTCCGAGGGTTGGATCGCCCCGAGCATCGCGGCATCTCTCTCGGTCCGAGCAAACTCAGGATGTCCAAAGGTAATCCTCAAACGAAACTGAGCTTCTTGTTACTAGTACTGCCAGGGAGCTACTAGTAGCTTCTTGTTCCTAGTAGCGATGCCAGGAGCCCCTAGTAGCGTCCTTGCTCCTAGTAGTAAGGCCAGGAGCCCCTAGTAGCTTCTTGTTACTAGTAGTACTGCCAGGAGCTACTAGTAGCTTCTTGCTCCGTTCGTAGCGATCGATGCCCTTTGCTCTGTTCGTAGCGATGCCCTTAATCATCAAACGAATTCGAGTTTGACCCGCAAAAGAATCATACCCGTTGCATCATCCTAAATCCATCTAAATCCATGCAACGGCCTGGGCAAATTTATCATTGACTTCCGGTATGAGTACTGCATGACTGGAATGGAACGATATGGGAAAACATTCTTTTTCATTCGCTTTATATCGCTTTATGTATCAATGAGTCGTCTATATAAAAGGGTCAACTTTGCGGCAAAAAACGCTGCTGTCAGGGACGGATCTGATTGCAAATGGGCGTCTCGGACCAGCAAGCCTCATGTATTTCAGCCAGAGTTCGTTTGGGCTCAAGCATGCGACCTGACCAGGGCTGACCACAAACACATGCACAACTCGATCACATGAAGTGGTCGAGGACATTTTGTCTTCCTACATCTACCATCCACTTCCGTGTCAGCCACAGGGAGTGTACTGGGCCGTGAGAAGCACCCGAGAGTATGTGCAAATGGATGATGCCTCCAAGGCCAACCATGTGGCTGTTAAACCTGAGCAAGGCCGACAATGTGTGATTCATTGTGATACTCTCTTCTCTCGCAAACCATGTGAAATTCCTCAGCCATTGGCCACAAAATACAGAGTAAAAGTTGTACAAATACTGAATACAGGGTCCTGGGTCCTTTGATCGGTGCCGTCATGGAACCATTCCATTCTCCATTGACGTCACTTCGGAATGTTCATTTGAGTCAACTGGTTGATTCCCCATAGTATTTCAATATATTGGCCTTGATATTACTCATATACAAACATATAGACTAAACATCATATAGAACACATAATGATTTTTTAAATATATAGTAGTCAACTAGGATTCATTCTTGGCCTTCAATATCAAGGCTCAACTTGCCGGACACCTCGTAGCCAAATCGATGGCCAGAAGAATGGCGCTCCCGCCAAGAGCATTGACATGTCAATGAGTCGAAGGGGTACCAGGGCTCGTCGCCAAGGAACTTGTCAAGAGGCCAATCTCGCAACTGTCGGGCAAAGTCCTGGCACCGCACCGTGGAAGACGCTGTCGGTCCCACATGGTCCCAGTCCGTCCATGCCATCCGATTTCGTCGTCCATGCCCGGTCTTCCGAAAGCAAAGGTCCTGCAAGAAAGTCTCCACAGCTTTGAGAAGATTTGGAGGTCTTTGCACAGCACTGAGTACATAGATGCTGAAGCCTAACAAGTCCATTGATCAAACTCAAACTCTTCACATAGCTGTGAACATCACAGCAATCTACCAAACTTCAAAGCGGCCACGCTTCATCTAACTTCAACTAGGTTGCCGTGCACGCCGAAGGTATCCTTACTTGCGTTACTAGTATCATCTTGTATCTTCAACATTGGAGAACTCTCGGCCGTGGGGGTTTGAGTCTCGCATCATTTCTCGACTATGGGGTCTTGCAATTGCAACAACAAATAGATGGACAGATCTGATGCTGGACGAGGGTCACGCGTGCTGCAACCGACACTGTATCCCAACTGCTGCTTTGTGCGCAGTTCATCGAACAGGTTTTCGTACATCATGTCTTCAAGCAAGTTCAACAGCACTTTCATGTGCGCTCTGTCCTGCCAAGGGCATGTCCAAACCATTCCAAACCACGTTTCTTGCCTTTTTACCCACTTACTTGGCATTCCCAAGCTATCACGTACGGTTTTCATTTGTGTCCTGCTTCCATGTCCAGCTATCACGGCCAGGAAGTTGAAAGTAAACTTCCAAGGCAGAGTTGCTTTGCGTGCTGTCAATTCCAGCTTCCAGCCATACCGCAGCAGTTCGCGGTGAAAGCTGCACCACATCGCAATCGGGAGCACAGCAGTTCTTCATTGGCAATTGGGTGGCGAGGGATGAGCTGATCCAGGAATCTAGCTCATCTTGGGATGTATTTCCCGACATCAGCAATTCGCAGGCCACACTCGCATAGAAATCACCCATGAAATTGTAACACTCTTGCAGTGTACAAGTGCTTAGCTCAGCCTCCTTCTGGGAAGGCCTGGAGGTGGTCAGGAGCAAAAGCAGCTTTCGGAGGCTTGCGCAGTGGACCTGTGGCTTGAGCCAAGCATTTCGGTAGCACCTCAGCTTCTCTTCCCATTGAGAATGGAAGCGGTCTTGGGCATAAGATTTCAACCACAGCCCTTGGATCATCGTCTCAACCAAGGCCAAGAGCTTTTGGCTGAATCCACCTGCTCTCAGCTTTAAGCCATAGATGGTGTCATTAAAGCTGCAATTCAATTTGGCTTTGGAAGCAGTATAGAAGATCTCATTCAGACTATCCTGCAAACATGCAGAAAGGAGTTCGAGCAAGACCTCCTTCCGGACATTGCTTGGATCAAAGACATAGTCTGCTGAAGTGATCTTTAAGCTCAGCAAGCTCCGTGGCTGTCCGAAGCGTTGTGCACAGGGCAAATGCCAAAGCCTCAGGCCTGGAATCAGGGAGAAGTGCTTGATACTGCTTCAAACGATGATTCTGCAACAGTGGTTGCACAAAATTCTGACCCATGAGATCCCAAATGAAACCCATCAAAAACTAGTCACAACGGTGCAAAAGCAAAGCAAATCGGTTAAAAGCCTAAAAGAGTCCAATCCATGAACCTTCCTTCCCACAGCATTCCTCGCATTACTGTGCCTTCCTAAGCCACCCCAAGCAACCCTATGAAATCTTGAGCAATTCTAAGAACTCCTAAATTTGTGAACCCACTCATTCCTAAATAATATTCCTACACAACCCTAAGAAATCCTCAGCAAATCTTGGAAATCCTAAGAACTCCTGATTGTTTCCCGAGGTGGAACATGTTATTGTGGGACTCCTACAAATCTAGCTTTTGACAAAGGCATATATATATATATATATTATAATTATGCAACAAAAAGCCTTGCAATTACATGACAGGACCTCACCATTTATTTGCATCCATCCTGGTGACACAACAATGGCAGTCCTCTCTTTGAGCAGGTACGATAATCCATTTTGCGAAAGATTATTGCCAGGTCGTCGAGGTGACATCGGTCATGTGTCGTTCGCGAGGACCCGCTCTACTTTAGACATCCCTTCAGCCACTTCTTAGACTGCTCAGCCTGGCGTCTCGCTGTTGCGATGGCGTGGCGTCGGCGAGAGTCTTGCGCTGATGAGAGGGAAGCCTTCGATGGCTGATGGTGGGAGGTCTGGCAACTCCTCTTCCTCCACGTCGTCTCTGAGCAGTGTGAAATCGGTAGCTATGAACTTGTTCGGAGGTGGAACATGCAATTCTGGCGGCGGCTCGGCTGATTCCCATGGCAGTAACAACATCTCGTCAAGGCTTGAGACCCAATATTCCGTCCCAAATCTTGGTTCGACTAGCGCTTCGCGTTGACCGTCAAACAAGCTGTCCAAGCACTCCTGTTCAGGTTTCTCTTGGACAATGTTGTTCCCTTGGGCTTCCAATTCGCTCTGTCCGGATGTGGAGGATGCCTCCGATTCCGACACCTTGTCCAAGCCGCCTGCGGGGAGCAAAGGGTGGCGCACCGGAATGAACGCACGCAAGGCATCTCATGGATTCTCATGAATGCTCCGTACCCGAGCCTGCTCTGCCGTAGCTGCTACTCATGAGCATGAAGAAGCAACCACGCACAGTTAAACCATCAAGCAAAGGCCTTGCAAAGACTTTGCACATGATGTCATGGAGAATTGTTACTCTGCTATACTCTGTCTTCTGGAGTTTGCCCTGCATTCTTCTGTAGCTTAAGTGGTACGTACAGATGTTTTCTGTCAGAGGTTTGTAATTACTTGTTGCGATCAGGTCACCGAATCAAATCCTCGCGGAAACCTGTGTATGTCCAGGGTGCCGTAAGCAGGTGTTCAGGTTGATGATGATAAAGTGGTAGCATGCGTTCCTTGCTAGCGGCTGAAAGCTACCGAACAATCGACAAAGAGTTCCAACATGTTCCAGCTTTGCTTAGCTTTGCTTAGTGACCACATCTCATCCCCTCATACACCTCCACCCTGTTCAATATCAAGATGTATCTAACTTCCATCATTGTTCCATGGAAGGTACTCCTGCAGAAGCTGTTGCAATGAGTTCCGTATGCGGTCAAGCTGCACTCAAGTCAATCACCAAATCAGAAGGATCCTGCAAGAAGTCTATTTATAGCTGCTTTAGCTTCGACAATACCAGTGGAGCTGGACCTATATATCTCGGACCCTTGATAATTTGACACCAAGTATCTTCAAAGTCCCATGCCTGGCAGTCTGAAACTCACCTGTCCTTCTCCTGCATAAATTGAAAACTCATCTGCGCGATTTGCTTGATCTCTTCATACAAGTATGCAGGCAAAGATTGAAACCTGCGAAGCATCTCCAGATATTGAAACACTGTCTTGACCACCTCTGTCCAGTGGGAGAGACCCTTGTCAGTCAAATCGATCTGCACATTGAAGATCATTGAGTTACCTTGAGCGTGACTGACTCATTGCGTGAATTGGTTGAATGTTGGTGGACTCCAATGAACAAAAAAAAATCAATGGATGGTCCAGAATAAGAACATCTGTCATCTGTCTGATTCTGTCTTATTCTGTTTTAACCTGCTCACATCAACCAATCATCAACCGCCATTTCCTGAACATTGCGGCGCTCAGCTGCTTCGCCCACCCATTTCCTCGAGAAAAAATAACTTCCTGCCGGCCATTTTCTTGCATGCCAGGCACTGCTGTGGCTGAAGTTATCTCCACCAGCGCCAGCAGTGAGCTCTGAAGCCCAGCCCTCATTTTTGAGATATGACAAGATGGACCCAGGCCCCTCATCACCTGGCAGGCCCAGCCCTCCGGGCCATGCAAAGGCCCATCATGTTGTGCTCAGTTGGTCCAGGCACCCAACCGAGCTGTGTCTTGGCTCAACAATCGGCTTTGACCTCTTAGCGATTCAAACTCAGCTTTGCATCTGGGGAGCGTGGCAATAGGTGCAGACAGCATTAGCTGTTCATGTGTTCGATGGCATGTGAAACACCGTGCATGACGACCTGGCTGAGTTTCAAATGCCAACTACCATATCAAACCATGTACGTTGTTCATAACAACAGCAAGGGTAGTAATGACTGTACAAGAAGCTGTTCAATGTGAAGTTGAAGACCTTTATGTGCACAAGTCACGCATTGCCCATATAGTGTCAATATGTGTCAACAAAGGTACAGTACTGTATTAGTATAAAAAGGAAGAATAGGAAAAGAACAGCTTCACAAAAAGACACTTCCAGGAAGGTATTTCAGACTACTTCAGGACGACAGTGGATCGCCGAAGTGCTGCGACAGTGGATGAACGCATACGACAGGGAGTAGCCATAAGGGTTTGGCTCCCATAACGCCAACTCAACCAACCCACGACATGAACATCACTTGCTACTAGTAAGAATGCTCCGTTCGTAGCGATGCCAGGAGCCCCTAGTAGCGTCCTTGCTCCTAGTAGTAAGGCCAGGAGCCCCTAGTAGCTTCTTATCCCTTCACGTCTTGTGCCTATGAGGCTGCTGAGGTAGCTCTCCGGTTTACCTGACAACATCTCGAATTGAGAAGACTCTGCAAACGAGCCAATCAAGTGTGTCCCTGTTTTGCCAACAACAAAACATGTTCTCATTCATGGCGCGGACAAGTCTCTGTGGTAGTATCGAAGTTGGGGAGGCAACTGCCAACTCATCCAAAGAGAGTGGCCATCACGAATGGGCCGTACACGAACCAGTGAGGGCAGGTCCTTGCCATGATCGACCAGGTGTCAAAAGAATCTTCAATTGAGAAGAAATGCAGATATTATGCATCTGGGAATCCACAGAAAGCCGCGCCTCTTTTCTCAAAGGCATACCACACTGGGCAAAGTCCAGCTGTGTGGTTCCGGCAAAACTCTCCACACAAGAAAAGCTCTGTGACACCGCTGTCTCCAGAGAGTCCAAGGATTCAATACCAAAGACGCAGAGTCGCATCCTGCATGCCTCCAATGTGTGTGAGTGCTGCTCTGCTGCTATCGGGCTAAAGTGCTTGTGTGCTCCCCGAGAATGGAATGCTCAGAAAATGCTCAGAATATCTCACCTTTCAATTGGGTGCTCAATGGAGATCCGCAAGTAGTGTAGGGTAATCTAGTTTGGAAGGTGCTTCTACGTGTTTTTTTTCAGCTGGCACTCGTGGCGTGAGAACCTCTGGAAGAAGAACATGAAAGCACATGGAAATGAAGAAACAACTGTACCACAAACACTCCAATGTCTGGACTGTTTGCCCACATTTGGGTGGCTTCAGGGGTTGTATAGGTGTATTGCATACATGGAGTGCCTAAGTACCATCTTCCGACAGGTCATCCACACTGGAAACTTTTCGGAAGCTCTCGGCCAGGGACACCCAAAGCCATGAAAAATCCAGGTGTTCACTCTAGCAAGATCTGTTGAATCCCACGAGTGTCCAGCATGTCAGTTATGCCACAAAGACCTTGTAGTTCTTGGCAAAGAACGTTTGCAGCTCTGAATGAAGGTCCACGCCCTGCAAAGGGTCCACAAATACATCCCGAGAAACTCGATTTAAGCAGAGTGTTTGTAGGGGGATGTAGGGGGAGGCCGTTCACAAGCCTATCTGAGAAACAATGGAAATGCAAAACGAAGCCGCCTGCTTCTTAGGCTCTTCATCAAGACTCTGCAAATTTCCCCAGCCAAAGAGCCTGAGCACAGGCACAGCAACACATTGGGTATTCGCCCAAAATCAAAGCAAGAAAGCTCCTAATATTTCGATCCAAACAAAGCAGGAAGAACGCAGCAGGAACGCTCGGAACACCAGAAACGTCTTCCGTTCAGGAACGCAGGAAACGTCTTCCATCCGTTCTTTCAACCCATCCGTTCACCGGACGAACACCGACCGTTCGTTCACCGACCGTTCGCCGTCAGGACCGGACCCGCCTCCAAGGATGTCCCCGAGAGGCGAAGCTGGCGAAGAGCGTCTCGGCACGAATGCTATCCTCGGATGTCTGATGTCTTTCCCCATGCGTTGGTGGCAGGTAGAGAGGTTTTTCATGGTTTTTCATCAACAAAAAACCGGTCTTGATGTCTCTCCCCATCTTTGGATGTCCCATCAAAAAAATGTGTTAGTGTTGGATTCATTTTAGGCGTTTTTGAAGAGGTGTTTCAGTTGGCAAAAAAAACTATCTACAAACAGTTGGTGGTGGGTCTACATTGTTCGTTTCGAGGTTGGAGTGTTCTTAGTTAGCCTGGATGAATGTTGAGAGAATTCAGACATTTGCAGCTGGAGCAAATGGAGTCACTATGGAGTCACTGTCAAACTGCCAGGTGTCGCTTCTCTTCTTTTTTTTGAAACTCGGATTCAATGGCCTCAAGGTGGCAGGTAGAGAAGTTCCGTGAACAGTGGTAGCAGTGAGTTGCAACCCCTGCCTGCAACTCACGGTACGAGGCATCTGGCGTGAACAAAGGCTCGTGAAAGAGCTGAGCAAACATATCAAGCGCACCATGAAGAGCCTGACAGGTTGAGTCTTTTCTGAGACAGTCAAAGCCCTGAAAAAGACCTGCCTTGCAATTCACAGAAAAGTAGAAGCCTCACAAGCACGGGAAGGTGTTTGACACTCATCAAGATGAGACCTCACAGTTGCGGCCCTAGGAAGTTCTAAGGAATCTTCCGTCCAAGCCAAGGAACTCGTATACTCACATTCAGTATAGGCATTGGATTCGCCTCCATTCTCTGAAAGAAACTCCTCGAATTGGGCTTCGCCAGGATATTTCTTGCTGCCCAAGAAGATCATATGCTCACCTCGAGCTACCAAACACCAGCATTGAAGAGGGAGGACTCTCAATGTGGATGTCCCCTGGATTAAATGAGTAAAAGAAGAAGAGAGGTAAAGTGTCAAATAGAGAGTTAGAGAGAGAGAGAGAGGGAGAGTGTGAGAGGCAAAGGGAGGAAGTCATGTTTGTTCTATGCTTGTTGTTCCATGATGTTTAATACACAATCCTTTCCCAAAAGTTGCATCTTCCAACCTGTCAACTGATTCACCAAGCTGCAGTAATGAGCAAGGCCTTCGCAAAAACTTGGATCACTGAAGGAGCCCACCTGACGAGCGTCCGACTCCGAGCGTCCGCTCGGTCGACGAGTCCCCGGTCCGGACCCGCCGGGTCCGCGCCTGGACGCAGCAGGCGCAGGCGGCCTTTTGCTTCTTGGGATCCAAATTGGAGACCAGCAAAGCTTGGATACCGTTGCTCAACTCAATCAAGCGGTAGCCTTGCTGTGAAAAGGATGGATTTCAAGGGAGAAGAACCACACAAAACCATGGCAATCCAAGCGAGCAAATGCCAATCCAAGGGTTGATTGAGCAGCGGGGCTGTTGCGATCATTCGGCGACTTGGCAGCATCCAACGATGGACCTCTGCACGCATCCAGCGCCGTCTGTCTACCAACGCCGTCTGGACTTGTCCGAGCGAAGCAGTCTATCAAAGTCTCACAGTTTGTGCCAGTTTCCTCTACCTGCCAGGGCGTGAACCTTGATCATCCTTGATCCCTCTTGGAGGAGACGAAACAAAAGATCACCACTGAAGTCCATCTAAACCCAATCAGAAGAAACCCAAGAAAATGTTCTGGACTTCAAAAGCCACTGATGAGTTCTTTGCTCTTTCAGGCTGATGACACCTGGTGAAAGTCTCAGAATAAGAACTGACGAAATGATATGCAAGCGACTTCCTTCTTTTAATTGTTTAAATACATATCAATTATGATCAAATCCTATCAGTAATGCTGTAATACGATGCAACACATTGCAATCTATTCACTACCTAATTCTGGCAAGTGTTTGGATGTCATTAGAGTCAGGAAACAAATTGGGCACGAACACGATGTGTTGATTCGATTAGCCGCTCAGCCGCTCTCATGGCCAAAGGACACAAGTTCTTTGGAGTTGTCATTGACGCCACTGCACGCCAAGCTCTTCCAGCAAGCCGCTTCGTGCTTGACGGGTCCAGTGAGAACAATCCCACTAGCTGACAGCCATTCTGAAGGTCAACGGTGCTACATGGTGAAACCCACAAAATCAATGGCGACAATGGACGCTGGTCCAAAAGTAGGTGGTCATTTGCATGATTGAGCATAATTACATCGTCTCCATGTCGAAATATGCACTCTAATTCCGATTCCTCAAACTTGACTTAGCTCGAGCCAAACGTTCTGTCTGTACAAACGGGATACATCACTACAAACGTGGCACATCACTGTCAAAATATATTACAGAACGCTGGGGCTCCTGCTTCATGGCGCGCAAAGGCCATATATAAACCCCTGCGCTCTGCTTGAGCCAAAGCCACCCGAGCTGAAGCGTCGGACGATGAGGTCCGAAAGCGAGTTTCGAAAGAAGCTCAGGCGTCTTGTAAGAGGTCTCTTGATCACCACATCGTCATGTATCCACGTGCGTTTCTCCCGTGAACAAGGCCAAAAAGGCTATCATGTGGGCTGGACAATGTGAATTATGACAAATTCGATTGCAATCGACAACTCGATCAAGCGTTGAATTATATAGATGATATAAGATGCATCTCATGTGGCATCTGTCATCATCTGGCTCCCTGTACAGCTCTTGCACCCGTGAAAGGGGACCACTTCACGCTTCAGAGTGTCCACCTGGGACTTTCGGAATGATATGTCTTGGTGTAGGCCTGGCAAGAAATCGTCTAATGTGTCCAACCATTTCAAAACCAGTGCCCCCAAATCCGCATATCCAAGCACTATCCATCCCTGCCATCCCCTGCCTCCAGCTCACATTGCAAGTCCTGCATATCACCGAGGAAAAGGACCAAAAGTCTTCTACACAGCATCCGCCCTGCCGTCTGAAGTGCGAGAAATCGCAACATCAACCGTCCCTGATTGGGTGATCCTTGACGCCGTGCTCAACATCTGTTGTGTGGACTGTGGACCGGTGTGGATCATAGCTTGACACAGTCGCGCGCAAGCGCTGCGGGCGAAAAAAAAACACCAGATTCACATGAACTATGGCACTATGGTTTCCAATAGACTGAGCCCCTGTACCGGGGGTCAATTCTTCCAGCTCGGACCGTGAATTGTGGCACTTTCCTGTCTATGCTACTCGCGTTACCCAAAAGGATCCGGTATAATGCGATCCCCCCCCGCCGCCCCAAGGCGGTGAGCGGCTTCCTGGATGCGTCGCTCTCTCTGCTGATGCTTCAGAGCCCGAGAGCGCAGCACCTGGACCGGGTGAAAAAGCGCGTTTCGGGTGGTGACGTGGAAGAGAACGCGCTTGGAAAAACCCAGGATCCATTGGAAGATTGCAACAGGGTTTTTGACTCAAACGCTTGGAAGATTGGAACAGGATGCAAAAAAGGGAAGGGGGATGGTCATTGTAATGTCCTGCTGTCCTTTGTTGTATGTTGTATGTTGTGTGTTGTATGTTGTAGTAGTGGTAGTAGTAGTAGTTGTTGTTGTTGTTGTAGTTGTAGTATGTTGTAGTTGTTGTTGCTGCTGCTACTGCTGCTGCTGCTGCTGGTGTTGTTGTTGTTGTTGTTGTTGTTGTTGTTGTTGTTGTTGGTGTTGTTGTTGTTGTTGGTGGTGGTGGTGGTGTTATATTGTTGTTGTTATATTGTTTTTTTCACATTTCAGCACGTCCGACTGATATGGGCACCCCATGGAACCATGAAACATTAGCGCAAACGAGCACGCCCAGATCCATTGCTGCCGCATGTGAAACACAATCCAGTGTACACCTCATGCTTCCCAAATAGTATCCTCTAACCCAACGCCCTGTATGGGGTTGACCTTCACACATCCAGAAGCTGCCTTGATCTCATTGCGCAGGGAGTTCTGCCTCTCCTGCATCTGGTCACGCTCCTGAACCATAAGGCATCCAACATTGGTCTAACCTCACCGTTTCACAAGGCGTAACAAGGCCACTGATTCCACTGATCTGATCTTCATGAAACTGGTGAAATGGTGGGAACGTGTGGGAACTCATCTCAGGGCATCCCTGGTATCACTACCGCTTCAAGCATTCTGCTGAACGGTGACGTGACATCATCTCCGGAAGCCTTCTCTTTGGAGCGGAAGCGCATCGATTCAACATTGACTGCCTCCTGTCCGAAACCAGTCAGTGGAGTAGTTCAGCACGAGAAAATTACTGCACCAACCTCGAGCTCTCCGATTCGCAGTCGAGCAAAGCTCTGCTCTTTCAACGCAGCCTCATGAAGCCATGAGATAAACTATGGAAACTATTTGGAAACCACGAGGCTTCTTTTGCATGGCAAATCCATCCATGTGGCTCATCTTTACAGGCCACCAATGTTCCAATAAACATGAACAAAAACGCCTTGATGCTTCTTTCGAGTCCATCGCGGGTTTGCAACGCCACCTGGCTCCAGACTTGGAACATGCCATCCTCCCGTTTCCTTTGAAACAGGCCTCGAAGCGATGCTTCACTTGCTGCTCTTCCCGCTCCACTCGCCTGCGAAGAGTGGATGCCCAAAAGCAAGAAACACCCAAAACCGAGGATCTAAGAGGAACGAAAACACCAGAAGTTGCTCTCCATTGAACATGCCTCTGCATTGCCTGCACTCGTTCCCGAGAGGCTCTAATGGTGCGCTGCAGTCGAGCACGAAGATTTGCCTGTCGAGCCCCAATTGGTGCCAAAACATGGCCCATCCAAAGGATCGAACGGCATGGACAGTGATCCGCTCTCTGCTGTTCCATCTGAATTGATCGAGGTCTTAATCACCTACTTGATATGATCGAAAGCGTGTGAAAAAAGCCTTTTCCTTCTTGCATGCTGGCCTCTTGCTGCTCGTCTCGTAATCGAACACGTTCTGAACATGCTTTCGCTTCCTGATCACACTCCACTCGAAAAAGAGTTTGGATAGTATCGTGTCATGCACTTGGGGAACCTATGGGATTCGATGGGAATCTCTGAGCAGGGGCTTAGCCACGTTTATCGGGATACAATTAAATTGGAGCAGCTTGGTGCAGTCCTGGAGATTGTGTGAGGGCATCCACTGGCTCACTTACAATGCACTAGCACTAGCTTTGACATCTGAATGACATTGCCAATACACTTGGGAGGGTGCCAGCTTTGATGAGTCCACCAAGGGCCGCCTCCGAGACCTCAGCAAAGCCGACAACTGAATGAAGCGTCTGAGTTTAAAGCCTTGAAAAAATCACCGCAGGATGGTCGTAGCATGTCGTAGCGCACGGTGTTTCCCTTCGTCTTCGGCCTGAATTCCGATGTATTTGTTCCCTTCAAAAGGAGAGCGTCCGCGACACTAACGGAGCGCTTTCCGCGACACTTCGGGTCTGTTAAGTGCTGACATCGAATCAAGTCGACCGGTCGAGATGGTCGAAAGAAGACGGCACCGCTTTCAGGTTCACACGACGGCACCGATGGCTTTGTAGATGGCACTGTCGCCTTGAAAAAAGGGCTGGCCAAGATAGGCAAGTGGTGCAGGTTCTGCAAGGGTGGCTCCGCAACGACTTGAAAAGAAATGATGTGAGGGACGGAAAAAGAAAACACACTCCTTCCATAACAAAGAGAGTTTTCACTTTTGATGAGTAATTAGTCATAAAAGGTGTGGGCTCCCTATGTCCATTCATGTCCATTCCCTTAGTGTGGCCACTCAATATGTGATTTTGAGAAATCTAAGGTTTGGATAGGTTTGGGGGGGCTCTCGAATCAGCCAACCAGCGCATCCACTCTGATCGACACGAGACTCGCCACCTGAGGACTTTGAGGTGATCGGTGAGAGCGCGTGAAGTGCGGAGATGGCCGGACCTGCCATTGACTCTCACAGTGAAGCCAAGCACTACTCATATAAAGTATTATGAAGACCTATTGTCCGTAGTAGGGGTTGGATGTAAAGCGATTAACGCCAAAATGACTCCGTGCACCTCGGATGCTTCTCGCCGGAGATTTCGAATGTGTGCCTCAGAATTACACTCAATACTGAACTCATCAAAGTGCTTATTACAAATTGTGGTGCTAAAAGGTTCAATAAATTTATAGCTTCTGATTGTTTCTATCATGTAAGTACCTTACACGAAGCAGGTCATTCCTCTGACACAATCGCCTCCTCAGTATGTCTGCAGGTCTTGCAAGCAGTTTGCACATCTCGAGTACATAATGGTGTGTATACATATATATATATATATGCAGGTCTTGCATTATTTGCATTGTTTACATCCGCAAACACCAGATGTCTCACGGGCGCCCGTGGACATGCACACTCTGCAGCATGATGTTCTCGCAACAATCTGGGTGTCTCTCAGCACAACTCCAAGTGAGGGACACAAGTTCTTCATGCGTTTTCAAGCAGCTGTGGAGCTTCTCAGCAACGCCCTGGGCGCAGGGGCGGGGAAGCGTTGCGCACCGGCGGTTCTTCGGTGAGAAGCGAGCATGACAGTCAGAGGTGAGAAGGGGGGAAATGCCGTTGACTGGGACAAAGCCGGAAGGCTAAAAACCAGGCAAACAATGATGCTCTTCAGGTATTGGACGTCTGCTGAAAAACATATTGAACACCGCTGAAACGCCAAGATTGAATGCTTCTATAAATCCACTCCATTCCACTCCCAGCTCCTCAGGCAACTGTGCCAAATAGTCCAGCATGGAGAACTCCAAGGGTTCCTACGCCGGCGTCAACCTACTGCCCCATCTGGGCCCCCAAGGGTTCCTACGCCGATCTACGCCGCATTGCCCCAGCCTCAGCCTCCTTGTTTCTCTGCCTCCGCCCCAACAGGAACACACCCAACCACATCGAACCGGATTGCTCCGCCATGGTCGAACCGGGGCGACTCACTGGGCACCGCCCCAGGTTGAAGTAACCGACACATGTGTCCAATCCCACCCAAACGGGAACAGTTCGAAACCGGAGATGGGCCAATGGATGTTCACCAATTGTGCGCACCTGTTGTGCCACGAAAGTCTTTCTGCAGTACTGGTGGAACGTGTTCCAACGTGCTGCTGCACTTCTATATAGTATATATGATCATATTGATCATATATATATATATATAAATGACTGTTTTATATACGAATGAATGTTCTGTAATAATGAAAGTGTTGCATGCGACAAATCTCCAGCCTCTCTGAGATCGACTCTTCTTGCAAAGAGCCTTCAGCACAAAAGCTTGTTTATCAAACTTGACTTATAAAAATCATTTGGAAGATGGCTGAGAAGTGCTTTGAGAAACACTCTCTGCAGATATGTCCAACTTGAGTTGAGGCTTCACTGAGGGCGCAGCATGTTTCATCATCACTGTCCCACATGTAGAAACACTCTATCTCTGGTCCCTGCATCTGCCAACGTGTCTTGCAGAATCGCAATAAATTGCACAGGGATTTGCTGTAAAGGACCAAATACAACAGGCCTTGCCAGTCTTCACTTCTTCATTCTCATGTTCTTCAACATCCTGACCCGACGGCAAAAACAATAGGGCAAACCAAAATAACAAAAATAGCAAAAAGCCCAGCAAGATCGGAGAAGAAGAAGAAGAAGAAGAACAACAACAACAACATACAACTACCAAACGAACATTCTCCGCACTTTAGCCAACCGGTCGACCTTCAGCACGTCATCACAGGCATCCAGCTCCAAGCACTTCTGGGGATGCTCTTCTTCATCGTGCGTGGATGATGCATCTCCATGGTCTGAACTAATTTCAAGTGTGTCGCCCGAGAAGGTATTGCTGACTTCTTCCGCGAAGGCCATATGCTCCGGACGCTTTCCTTCTTCAGCAATTGTGGCCAAATTGCTCCCGCTCTCCAGCAGGTAGCCATTTTGCGCTATCAGATCCTTGACCATCGAACATCACAAGCATTCACAAGCACTTGTACTCTTTGCCTCATTGGATGATGTCCTTTCGCACCTGTCTGAGTACAAGACATGGGCGTCGCCGGAATCGGGCACCGAGCCCCGAGGAACACTCGCTCCAACGGGTACTCGGCATCGGTCTTCCCAAGCTCAGGGTCACAGAGACTCACACAACAGACTTCTTAGATTCTGCCATAATTAAGTAACCATCAGAATCATAAGTATCATAAGCTCACCACTGCCAATGTTGAGACGTCCAGGCTGCTTGACCATGGTCGGCCTCAACGTCGCAAGGCTTCAGCGTTCGGTTTTGATTCATCGGCAGAGCGTCCGACCCAGAAGTGGTGCGACCCTGAAACTTCATGGCACGTTGCTTGACCTGATTGTGTGATATCAAAAGCGCTCCTTGTAGACTAGCCATGGAATGCAAAGAGAACGCAAGACATCTAACCACAAGGGTCTTGCCATGCAAAGGGCCAATCTAGGAACCCTTCTCATCCCTTCTCTATCTTCTCTTCAGCTCTGAAAAAATGACAGTCCATGCCTTCACGTGGCTGTGAGAATCTATCGAATAAGCCACCTCCCAGGTAGTCATCGCTTGTTTCGATGACTTGGGCCCTGTCGGTTGACACATGTTGATTCATCCCATGTACAGCCATGTCCCCTGTCCCATGAAACGAGGTGTCGATGCATGGGACAAAAACAACATGTGCATCTTGGATATCTTGAGATCAAAGCTGATGGCTCCCATATTTCTCCCGAAGTCTGATGGCTGGGGTTTCTCCCTGCCTGTTGGGCTTTCTCGACGTCCGACTCCCCTATTCGCTGGCGCCTGAAGAAACCAACCCACTCGGTACGGACGGACTCTCGGCGGTTCCCAGGCGATTCGAACTCGTGACTGTAGAGCATCGAAGCTCATTCTTCTTCGTCTGATGTATATTTGCTGATGATTCCTTCACTGCCTATGGCCTTGACGGACAGGGACCGCAAGTCGTGCTATTTGCTGATGATTCGCGGCAGCATGTGATTATTAAGGTTTTCTAAACTCAGAGATACAATAATTTACAATGTATCTTTTTGGGGGATGGTGGTATTTTATCTTATCTCGTTTAGACTACTTAAGTAGGAGGTCAGGTCACAGTAATGATCTCGTTCAGAGTACTTTAGTAGCAGATCGCACTATCTCGTTCAGACTATTTTTGTGTCATCCAGCAAAAGATATCGTTTATGTGGGGGCCCTATCTCGTGCACAAGTGAATACTGATAGACTGATAGACAAGCAAATAGAGCATGCCGTAGACTACTTGAGTAAAGACTAAATAAAAGTCGGTTGCTCATATAGACGCATGTAGGCTACTGGCTCCACAATACGGCTGTGTGAAGTGTAAAAGGGTCTGAGCATGTCTGAGTTTTGCGCTGTCTGTTCAGTTTTGACTGGAGATCTCCACGATGAAGCTCCTGCAGTCATGCTCTGTTTGTTCAACATCATTGGGAGGACTTCTTCAATCAAACCATGATCCTGACCTTGTGCACTTGATGGCTGTGCTGCGACTGTGGTGAATATTGTGGGAATCTATTCTATAGGGTCTCGATGGACACACAAAGTCTTCTTACAATGCAACACTGGAGAATAGTGGAACAGCGGCCTGTACTAGGATCCGTGACCCTCTTCTACATTCTTCTCCTGCACCGTTCTGCTTGGTGTGTGGCTGGCTACAGACCTAAGTCGCTCAGAGAACCAAGTTCCAGTACGATAGGGCAAACTGTTGAATGCTCCCCCAGGGGCCAAACGCGTGAACTGCAGTTTCAGTGGGCACGTCATCCTCCCCCATTCGGAGGCGCCTCGATCTCTCTAAGTCTTTGCAGCAAGTTGCGATTGAGCCATTTCTCTTCGACTTGAGCACGAAATGTGTCACAAAGCCACCGGCTGCCGCCGGAGCTTCTGCAACAGCTCCTGATTTGCCATGTTTCGACCTTGATTCCGCAATGATGCGCAGACAGTGGGCCTGAACCGAAGATGGTTTTCAGCATTCTTTCCCTCCCAGACATGGCTTTCCCATGTCCACCGAAGCCATGGTCTTCACCGAAGACGTCCGTCTGACACGGTGGAAAGTGTCCAAGGACTCGACACGGTGGACGGCGCCACGGACAGCGCCACGGCGCCACGGCGCTACCGTTCGATGAAGTTCTAAATGCCAAAGAAAGCGAACGATGGCTGGAGCTGGTTGATGCTGGTGGCAGGAATTGGCAGGATGTTGCAGGCATCTGCATGCAGGTTCTTTTGAAGGTGAAATACCCGCTGAGACGGATTGCTTTTGTTAAGATTCTTGAGTTTAGAATAATGAATCATCAGTGTTATACAAGCCAAACTGCGGGAAAGAATGCTGAAACAGTCTGATGTGTCGACTCTTGGGCATGCACAAGAACCTCTTAAGCTGATATATGTCTTTTGTTCCCGTTCCAGCAGTGTTCAGCCGGCACTGCCAGAAATCGAAAAGGTGGACCACAAACTCTCGAGGCTCCCAAAACACCAGGTGCCTCATGTGCATTCCACAGAATGCAGTCCCGGCAACAGCGCCTCTCTCAAACGACCAAGCTCGCTCTCCCGGCAATACTGAGGATATCGCATGGCAAAAGCATACATCGAAAACACATCGAAACACTGACTGGTCAACGTTGTTTGGAACATTCGGGAGTCATAATTTGCAAAAAAAACAGAATGCGAGTCGTCCCGACTCTCACAACCCCATGGAGATGTCCAGCCTGCAATGGATGGGTAAGATGTGCGACTTCAGTGGCAAACAAACGATAACAAACGTACAATTACATGTTACAGTAATTATATATATATATTAGATGTACAAATCTCGCTACTGCAACAAGCATCGAGAAATCCCCTTTCCGACCTCACTCGCACCTTTTCAGCGTGTTGTTTGCCTTCTCCTGCAGCGCTACACCCGGCGACCAAGCCGAACTCGCCGGGTGCCATCGCACGGGCCCAGCGCCCTGCCTCCAGCTCCCCCCTTCTCGTCATGAGGTGAATGGCTCTTCGGGCCTGGACCGAACAACGCGAAAGAAAAGGTCCTACCCCAGGCTAGCATAGCCTAGCTATGCTAGCTGCTAGCTGTGGAAGTAGGGGTCTCCCCACAAATCCACATCCACATGCATTTTGGCTGGTCCACATCACATCCGTTTTCTTTCACGTTGAAAAAACGCCACGTCCAGAAGCGGAGCGGAGCGTTCCAGCAGTCAGTCCGAGTGATTCACAGGAACCCCGACGGTTTGCTCTGCCACCCCTCCCAGAGAGACGAGCTGTTGTTCAAGAAGGAACTTGTTTTTACGACCTGAGGACGTTGGACGACTGAAGGATAGTAAAAGCTTCTCGTGCTTGGGACACAAGCTTCAAATGCCCAAAAAATAACTGGAATGATCACATTGACATAAACTAGATTACTACGCAATCAAAATTCGACCAAATGCAACCTTTTCTCCTGGATGCACGGTATCATGTCTGCACAACCCGGATTCGTGTCCGAGAGAGGCCACGGATGTCTCCGAAACCCCAGTTGCGGCACATTTGCTCAAGACCTTCCAACCCAATCAGCGTCCAACTGGACGGAAACCTTCGTCTCAAAGTATCTGATTGCTTCAACCAGCGGGTTCTAACAGGGAGCAACATGTCGCAGGAAGCAGATTGCAAAGCAATCAGCCGTGCATCTTGAATTGCACAGTTTGTCCAACGAGGGTGCAATGTTATCAGAAAATTAATTGCTCGTGTTCCTTAAATGGAATTATGATGCTTGGTGCTTGCTTCGAAGTCCATGCTATGTGGATGAAACATGCAATGACTCGAAACTCTGCAATTCAAAGCGAGGATTCAGCAAGGGTGTCCGGGCTACGGTATCATCTTTTATGCTGCATCAAACTGATGGGATTGCAATCCAGATAAATCATGTTCTTTCTGCCGGAGCCGCATCCGAACTACGGACTGCTGCACATTTCGTCAGCAGCTGAAATACTTTTTCTATCTTTTTCTTGGTACCGTTCAATATATGAATCAACTGGACGCTTTTTCTTGGTCCAATTGAGACATTGCATTAGATGGTTTTCGATTTCTGCAACTGGGGTTGTGGAGGAAACTTGGAATGAAGCACCGTCGAGACTGCCACCAACACCTCGAGACAGTGACGCGTCGGTGTCGCCGTCGGACTCCGAAGAAATAGACAGAATCCTGATGACGGTATTGTCCATCTTGTTTAGTCAAACGACCTGCCAGCTGGCGTTTGAAGTGTCTTTTAAGTGCAAGAGTCTGCTGCCAGAAGGTGTCTGCTCGTCAAAGGTGTGTCTTCCAGCAAAGCTTGTGAGAGGGTGGTCAGCACCTCAACGCACTGTGAGGGTGGCCACAGTCGAAGCTAGGCCGCCGAAACTCCGTTTCTACTCCTTTCCCCGTACTGCGCATGCCCATCGAGTTCCCGAGTTCCTTCGACTCGCACAAAACGAGGCGAAACGTTTGGGTTCGCCGACTCGTTGTCTCTGTCCGACTTGGAGTTGATGAATCAACCCTTCCGAATCATCCAAAGCCCAAACGTTGGAGCCCTGAAACAGCAGAATGGCAAAGACAAAGCTAGAAGCAATATGAAGCAATACATATTCACATTCATATTAAGCATGGAACAAATTGGAACAACATGTTTCTTGATGTTTTTTGAACCAGGGCTTCTTGTGCCAGGAAGCTATGCCGGCCACAAGCGCAAAACCCTTCTTCACTGCATCTGAATACCTGATATCGCAGCGAAAAACACGCCCTTTGATATCTGTGACCAAAGAGAAAAACCCGAAGGGCTCACATGACAGTGCTCCACAGCTCCAAAGCAAACTCCTTTTGAGGACCAGGTGACACGACCAGGCGAATACAGATGGAGACCTAACTCGTAGAACTAATTTGGAGACCTAACTCGCAATGTTTGCTCTCCCTATTTCAATACACACTGAACAACAATTGGCATTGTGAGTCAGGGATGATGATCTTTATCTTGCTTGACGCATCTTTGAAGCTCCTCACAGAGACGAGGGGCCTCAGGGTTTTGTCATGTTGGGGTGCTTTGACCCAACGTGATAGCTTCGTCATCTTCCTGCAGCTCGGATGCTTTGTCACTAATCCAACCAATATGCCGCCGCAAGCCTTGACAGGAACAGCAGGGCACAAAGGAGCAAACATGTACAGTACTCTTCACGCCGAGATGAATGTCTCAATCTGGGTTCACCCAAGAAACCCTCAAGAAAATTCAAGAAACATGAGAGCATGCTTTATGTGTTGTACAGAAGATCACTCCCTTCCCTTACAAAGACTTCCCCGACATCCACTGTTCGGCAGAAACGATCGCCTGGGTGGAGATTGGTAGAATGCACTGTGCTGACCATCCCTGCACGCATCGAGCGATCGAACACAGGTCGGTCAGACCTGGTTTATTGAGAGACCGATGCGTAGTCAGCGGTTAGGGCCCCCTTGGGCAGTGGACAGAGACTGATGACATAAGCACACTGAGGTTGGTCAATTTTCAGGAAGCAATGGACCAGCGTAGTCAGAACTGCTAGTAATATCCCAACTGCGGGTGTTCTATCTCTTGAACCTACACCTCCTCAAGGTTCCTTTGCCTGATCCACTATTGTCTCCCTTTGCCCCCGGCACAGTGCATGCAGAAGCAGCTTATCTTTACGAGTTGTAGCTGTAGACAGCTTTCATGCCAACAACCCATGGCATAACAAACGGGGACTCTTCTTCGGCCCTCTCAAGGCCCGGGGTTTTAGCTGAGATTTCGTCCTTTCATGCGAAACGAAGGGCCTATCTGTCAGCCCTCTCTGCCTGAAAGCTTGCTGCTAGCCAGCCACCGCTGATGCTTGGGCCTGACATCGTTCGGGACCGTCACACCGACAGCGGATCGACACGGAGCACGTCACGTGTCGTAGAAACAGACGGACGGTCGAGTTGAGACGGACGTAGCCAGGGCCAACCGAGTGATGGGTGATGACATCTGACTATTAAAAACCACACAACCCTAAACAATGACACAAGCTCAAAGGCTTTTGATGTCACCAAGCTGGTCCTTCGAGTGCCAAGTGCTGAACAAGCTGGCCGCAAATGAGGAAGAAGGAGCCCCACACAGAAATCTCCATGGAGTAGAGCCATGTATTCCTCAGCGAAGGACACTCATGGGAAAGTTGTCATCGAATCACAGGGCAGCCTATCTATGGATGGATGATAACTACATTGATTAATACATGAAAAGCCGTCTCCACGCCCTTGGGAACATTGTCGCACGGGAATTCAATATCAGATCAGAGTCCCTCGCCATATGTCAAATATATTTTGCTTCAGACAGGGCCTGTCACGTGTAATTGTAAAAACACTTGGCGGCACATCTAGATATTGTCATACTTTCAAAACCTCGCTTGGTGATGATTTCTGCCAGGCAACCACATTGTAGTTGTTCACTAGCTATGCGAGGCTCATCCAGACAACTTAGACAGAGTTCTCAGGAGCTACCTGAGAGGCCTGGCGGCCTGCATTCCTTGTTTCCACCCCTATATCTGTTCCGGGGCAGATGGACCACAAAACACAGAAAAGGCACCATTTTAGATCCGTTTAGACCCCCACCGCAAGCTGAATCCCACTGTTTGCACCAAATATGCAAAAATATTGTATCCCAAACTCCGAAACACTACATGAAACACCCTGTTGGGTGAAAGTCATGCAAAGTCACTTAACACAACAATTCAACACTTATACAATCCACAAGTTGGCCTGCTCATTTCTTCCTACCATACTGACCAGACAAATTCAACGTGCACACCGGTCTTCACCGAGTCTCCTGCCAAACGCTCCTTTCAGAGCGCGCTGAGTCAACGCCGCAGTGAGCCCCGAGCTCACCACCGCCACCAGAACAGGAACCACGCCCAACCAGAAGCGCTCGTCCCTGGGGTTTGGTCACATCGTTGTGAGGTTCGACAGTACGTTCGAATGAAATAGTTTAATAATCCTATACATTCGTATACGTATACTGATGAGAGCATGTTTGATAGCGGTTTGCTCTGGAAGCCTTTTTCTGGGTTGGGGCTCATAGAACTTTCTGGGTCAAGTAGATGGCTGATTAATAAAGCCCCCATATATATGAAACAAATTTTACAATCCAATGGGAGGTGTCATTGATCAATAGTCTACATGACCTTTCTGAGCACTATGTCAAACAAACCGCAATGTTTCTTGATTACGTTGAACATTGTCAGGACATGTCGGGGAAAGTCCAGCCAGTTGTGCCCGTACCAGTGTCTGGACCCGTGCCTGGGCATCAGATCGTCCACGGACGTTGATCTTTTCTTCGACAAGAGTAGCGCTGAGAGGAAAAGTAGAAACAACGCAAAGCACTGTATGGCTGATTGCCGCCTGCCTTGAAGCAAAGAGAACAGCTCAAGACTCGGGGTATGTGGATGTGTATTCCTCTATGTATTGATTGATAAGTTTGGATGCTCTCCAAACTGATGCAGCTGCTGATTCAGATTGACCCATGGCAGTGTTCACTGGACCGGCATGAGTTGATTCCACATGGGGCCCGGTGGGGGGGCGGCACAAACGACTGCCTGGCACGGGTCTGACAAGTACGGATTAATTCCCCCAGCTTGGCCATGCAGCCAGGTGGCCTAGCAGCAAGTAGCAAATCAGCGCCGCTGACAAGGTCTTGGTCTGATTCAATAGATTGAAGGTAAGAGAATCCAGGTGAGTCTGACCTCAAGTCCGTAGCTCAATCAAGCACCCATGTAGTGTTTAGCTTCTCTTGTTCGTATGAACAAGTTCCTGAACGGACCAAGCTCGCACCACTTGCTGGCTTCTCATTGACTCAAACCAACAAGACATCAGCAGAAAATCAGAAAATCTAATCGAGTCTCACGGCCAAGGTACCCACTTGTAGCAGCCAACCCTGTCCAGCAAACAGTGCAGAAGGCAAGCCGGCCTTGAGAGTCGAATCTCCTCAGCCCGACTCCGAACGAAGTCGGCGTCAAGAAAGCATTGGAGTCATGACTTGTTTACAAGAACATATAGTTATACTGTTGAATGGTAATGAATATTTAATATACAACTTATTGAATATGTATGAATATCTAAGCTCGCCTTCAACAACTTTGAAGGGGATCAATCCGTACAGTAGGCCTAAGACTTGGGGGATAGCAAGTGCTTTCTCCAATTGCGATGATTCCATCCACCCCAAAAAGTGCTTCCCACACGGGCCATCCTTTGTCGCCGACCCACACGACCCGACCAGACTCGAAGCACAATTCCATCCACCTGGGCCATGAGATGGCGCAAGAGATCGATGCCCCATCTCCCCAGTCGCCCGACTGAAGAACCGCTGTATTCTACCGCGGCCAAAGCGCGAAAGGTCCAGCTGCGAGCGATTGCTTTCAGTTCTTCTTTGGTGCTTCCAAGCCTTCTGGAGGCATGGTGAGGCCACTGGTTTGAAACTCTGGAGTGTTCATCCATGTCTAAAATGTATTGGGATCTTCAAGTTGGAGTTTACAAACCTTCATCGAATGCTGGAGACAGGCAAAACAGCGTGCAGGCTGAGTGGCAAAAGCACCGAAGCTGAGATGAAGATCTTCATGGTGTTGGAGCTCAGTAGAATCACAGAGGCCAAGGCACCCCGCGGAAGCAAACGCTTTGCCAGCAAGGGCTGCAGACCAAACTGAGCAGCTAAAAGCACCTAGGTGTGACCAAACTGAAGATCTTTTTCACTCGCAAAATGATCAAGTTGCCAGGGCAACATAGGGAGAAACTAAACAAAGCCTAAGTCGCACATTATTGGACCATCGGACCACTGAGAGACATATTCAGTCCAAGATGCCAAGCACAGGAAGCGACCATCGAAGGTGAAGCGAAGAAACTCGCCTATTCTTGGTCTCCAGGAAGGAAGCTTCCTGTTTCAGTGCGACCCCTCAATGGACCTGCTTTCTTATCCTCTAGGCTCCCGTGATGAATGATGGATCTTTTCTCAGAATCTTTGTTGGGCCATTCAGGGAATGCCCACATCCAGAATTGTATTTCAGGTCTTCCAGTGGCAATTTCTGGATGAGGATGAGGAATGAGGAATGAGGGATGATGGATGATGGATGATGGATGAGGATGATGATAATGATGACGATGCTGATGCTGATGCTGGTCTATTCTGCATGCCACACGTGCTGGCATCGACTTCGACCAGTGTGTTCGACCATAAATAAGCTCCAGTGAAAGGGCAGGTCGCTCCAGTTCTGAGACGCTCAAGAAAAAAAAAAAACATCACATGAAGAGGTATTGAAATCCAAAAGGAGCGGGCTTTATTAATCAAGAGTCAACTGGCTCCAGTTTGGCCTGACTACAATCCCTGACTGGCTCCATTCAGTCAAGAAGCATCCCAGTGCGGCTGAACAAAATTGAGGCAAAACTAGGCCATCCTGCAGCATCAACTTCCGCTACCATGGCGGGACCTACAATTCGAGTGCTGCCATGTTCCAAATGAACAGAGGCATTGGAATGGAATGTGGCAAGGATCAGCTGCAGGCTGCTATATGCTGGACTCTCATTGATTGTTCAACTGCAAGGATTCTCTGCATCAAACCTTCTTGGGTGTAAGGGTGGGTGGGCACAGTACCCCGTGCACCTTTCATTTACACGATTCAAACTGTTCGTATGTTCTTCTGCAACAGGCCTTGACAGGGCTACTAAAATGTACTAAGAATACATGGTGTATATCCAAGCTTGTTGCTTCACTTTTCAATGCTCCAAAATGGCTTCGTGATGTTTCCAGCTGTGCGAAGGCTCAAAAACGGTTTCCAGCCACAGGATGCCACAGGACATGTCGGCACAGAAAGTAACCAGACTCGTCCCTCTCAGGCAGGATCCACCGCGTGGAACCAATCTGCGAATCGCCTGGAAGCATTGCAAAATTGCCTTGTTCAAGGCAAATCATTCTCAAACCATGTTTACAAAAGTTTACAACATAATCGAATGTCTGCTTGGGCTCCCAGGTGAATCCTCACGATGGTATGGGATGGTGTGGGATGGTTTTACCCACTGGGCCTCTTCAGCTTCCATGAGCTCCTTCTTGTCTTCATCAGAGAGGACATCAATACCTCAGATTCAGATCTCTGGCGCTGTGCTGCGCTTTGTTTGGCTCGGTCGGCTGTGCACAGCACAGTGCTCGCAGCCAGATTTCAAGAACCGCCGGGGAGGTGACCCACACCATTTCGGTCACGATTCGCAGAGTCCAAGGTAGACACCTGGTTTTTCGTATTTCGGGAAGAGGTGTCTCCCCAAGTTGCTGCATAACACTGCTGAAGTCGGTTCAATTGGGTGCAGCATTGCGTAGGTACATGCCAGGTGTGCCGTAAACAATCGCAAAGCCTCCTCCACATGGCTCACATCTGCAGCCTGCACAATTCGTAAGCTGAAGAAAGGTCGTGACAACATGACCAGGAGAAACACGTGCGCTGTCGCACGAACATGCTGTCGCAAACACCAAGCTCTGTGTCTGTCAGATCCCAAGGGGGACACCAACTCACTTGTGTCTGTCTACTTGCGATGGTTCGAGTCTTTTGGGATGGTTCGAGTCTAGTCTTGGAGCCTTGGGATGACTTTGTTGAGATGTTCCCATATATAACTCGCCACGGTGGACTCGCGAAACCAACCAAACACCCGTGACCCTTTGGACAGCTTCAACCACTCGAAGCAGTCTCAAAGGCCCTCCAAAGGCCTCCTTCATCTCCATTTTCGCAAGACCTCACATCCACCATGCATGACGAGGTGCAATTCATTGACTCATTTCTTTGCCAAATGGCTCTCTGCAATTCGTACGATGGCTTCCAGCTGCCTGCACAAAGTGGCGTTGGAAGACCGACTCGGTTTCGAATATCCTGTGACTGTGAGTCTGTCAAGCAGTTTCAACAAAACATGGCCGGCAAGCTTGCTGCTGAAGCTGGAAGCTGGCTCGATGAAATACAGAATCAGCTATTAGTAGCAAGGTGCACCGCTACTAGTAGCAAGTGCATCGCTATTAGCAGCAAGAAGCTACTAGACTAGTAGCGATGCCCTTGTTACTACTGTAGTAGCTTCTTGCTACCAATAGTGATGCCCTTTTGCAGTAGTTCTTACTTAGAGAGATTCATGTTCAAAACCCGTGGACGCCTGACGGTGATCGGAATCGTGGCCTCACGAGTGAAGCAACAAACCGAGCTGCCAGTTTGATGTGCCATGAGCTTACAGTTCGGCCTGCCATGTTAAATTGTTGCTGTACTTGGCAAAATAGAAACACAATAAACACCCATAAACACATGTGAACAGCTCATGACATCAATCGTATGGTTTCGATATGACCCGCAGCTCATGACCCACTTCACCGATTTCATCGCCTTCTCTGATTTCATCGCCTTGCGGATGCCCACGTAGTGGTTCTTCAAGACCTGCGCCCGCCCGCCACGCGGCCGCCACGCCGCCGCAAGGGACCGGACGCCTCGGCACCGTCCTGCGTGATGCGAGGAGAACACTTGGTGCGGCAGTAGGCGATGTACCTCCGTTGATGGCAGGTGGCAGGATGTGCTGTTCGACCGGTTTCGGAAGATTGGGTGGAGATGTGATATGTGCTTCTCGGTACATCTGATGGCACACCCACAGCGGTGCTTTAAATGTCGTGCAACAAACCCAGCGTCTATGTCATGGAGAAAAAACAAAGTAGACTCCATATCCTCTGTCAATGACGGTTGGAATCACAGCCTGAGGGCAAAAAAGAACAGCCTGAGGGCTCCAACTCTGGTTCAAAAGGCAAAGGCTTATGAGTGTCAAACTCCAAGGCTCAGTGACAGCAAAGAAAAACGGCATCAACATTTTGGTAGAACCCACTCTTGGTCCTTCAACATGATGGCGCTTTAGGGTCTTGACCTCGGTGTCAGCGCAGACTCTAAACAAACGCTTCGTCCGTTTGCACGCTTAGGTTCTGTGAATCATGCGATTGGCCCAAAGTATCGCTCAGATCGCCCTTCGACTGTTCTTTTTCGAATCCATGAAGGCTTCTGCCCTTCAAAAGCCGCAGTCCAGGTGCGACTGTTCCTCAACAGAACCTATCGGACGACTCTACTCCCTTTGGGAGGCAGCAAGATGTCTTTCAGAAGGGGGCGCCGTGGGGAGTGGAGTGGTATATATTATATATTGAGAAACGACAAGCGCTCTTATGATCAGCTAAGTAACAGCCTGAATAGCTCTATCTGACCATCTGATCCTCCCAAATGAACTCTGAAACAAAGTAACGTGAAAAAAAACAAACAACAGAACAAAGCGACAAACCCCATCCATCTCTCCCATGGGGTCAGCCATTTTGTTGGTTTTAATGGTCCTTTTGTTTTCTTGGGTTTTGGCCACTCAGGTCCAAAACTACCAAACACCTTTCTAGAATCCTGCTTGATTCTCCCTTTTTCCAGTTTAAGTCACAAGTCTTTTGTGAACATGGCACATATTTCTTTGTAAAACAACACATGTTAAGCGTATTTTTAGTATCAAATAAGGTATGTAATGAGGTTTGTTTACAAGTCATAGCTTAAAGTCGCTTGAAGTATTGATTTGTAGTAACCAAGTTCAAATGTATTTTAGACAAACAATCCAAGAATCCGTTGGTGATTGGTTTCAACGAAAAGTCACTTATATGATCCCTTTCAATATCAATTCAGCTAGAGCTTTTCCATGTGTTTCCAATCAAATCCATTGAAAAGTCTTTAAACGACAAGTTAAAGTGAAAGGACAGCAAAAATGGTTGAATTAAGTATTTTTATGTTTCCAATCAACAGTTCTTTAAACTCCTTTTCAAAATAGCGCAGAAAGAGTATCTATATATTCGTAATTGATGTCCAATTGAAATTCGTTCAGTCACTGTTTAAATCAAAAACAATTGAAATGAGCGACAAGCAAACTCCAATGGTATTTTCCAAAAAGCAAACGTTTGACAGTTCCATACCTCACATTACAAAAAACACATATCCTTCTTCATTGGTCTTCAAATCTACAAATTAATAATGAAAAAACAATCTTTTGTACATCTCCATTCATTTGACCTCACAAAACACAAAAGCATATCCTTCTTCACTTGACTTCACATCTAAACATGGTGAACTTTTTTCCCAGAAAGGGACGCTGTCAGGTCCCACGTTTTCCACGTTTCGGGAAATACAGTTAATTATAAACATGCACTGCATTGTATTGTATTTACTTATACAGTTATATACAGCAACAATTCCACAACAAGTATAAAGCACAGTGCCATGGTATCCCAATAGTAATGTTAGCAACAGTTCTTTTTTGCTGACCCCCCCCAAAAAAAAATAACATCAAAGTGTACGAGAGTAGAAGCTTTCAACAAAGAGTAGGAGAGCAGGGTTGAGTAAAAGACCCTGACTTCCCTTCCCTAAAGTGTAGCAAATTAGGAGCCTTTGGCTAAGGCCAGGAGGGGGGGCGACCCGAAAAAAAAAAAAAAAAAAAAACTGTAAAACAAATAAATATATATATATATTTATTTTATTTTTTTTCGGTCGACCCCATTCCCAGGAAGAAACTCCAGCAAATGCAGGAGAGTTGGAGATGTCTTTTTTCGGTCGACCCTCCTCCCAAGAAAGAAACTCCAGGAAATGCCCTACTAATAGGTTGTTACACGAATTTGAAGGTGATGCCATAACAAAAATAAGATTAAATTGTTGGTATAAGTTTTGGTGATGTTAAAATGGAACCATTTGATTATTCAGAATTTGATGTCATAGCCATTGATCAAATTTGTTTCTTCGGTTTGAGTGTTTATTGGAACACCACAAGTAGTTTGTTGAGCAATATGTTTTTGCAACGCGTGATACCAAACAACTAAAACCAGTTCAGGAGCTGACAAATAGGTATGTCAAAGAGATTCTTTTGCAGCACCATTTTTGGAATGTATAAAGGCTACTTTAAACTGACACATGCTGGCATTGCAGTATATAGTGTTAAGAATGATGTTTTCACCATCAAGGCTGAAGATGAAAAGAAGCCAAGGGAGTGGATTCTATTAATAAGATTGGAGGCTGGAGAGTGAGCAAGTATGCGGATATTAGATTAGCTAATGAACGTTACCAAGTTATAGAAAATCAAACTGTAGAGATGCTTTACATATTACAATTCAAGAACTATGTACTTGTAAATATCCACAACTAAACTGATTGAAACATACTTTAAGTATTGATGATACTACGTCGCCTACAACACAGCATGCTTGATTAAGACCTGTAAAAAATCATATAAATCATATGTATGGGTTTTAAAAAAACACGCTGAAAACCACGTATTTTGGGGGACCTGGTGGCGTCCCACTCTCTTTTTCTGCAGCTCCACACCTCAACACCGACCTACCAAAAAGGTAAAATGACATCTTTCACCACTCCACCCCCCCATGGCGTCCCGCTCTGATACTTTTCCCCTTGTGGGAAGTACGACTATACACTCTGCTATTCAACCCTTTACTCAGAAGGTTTGAAAGAGGACTTTCGGCGCTTCACACGCCGAGCCGCCTGTCCCTGCTCCTCTGATATTAAGCGGCCCCCTCTCTTTGACAATGCAGTCAAAACGCTAAATAATGAGCCACACACCGATGTGCAAACTGAAAGGATCATGAAGAAGTTCTGAGAGACCCCGAAGATGTAAATGGTCTGTAAAGCTGCTTGGGGGATATCTTCACAGACTGTGCGGAATATCTGCAGCAGCTTCCAGTTAAACACATCCTCATCAGAAAGAGTCAGGCGATAAGAAACAGTATCCATGTGGATAAGTTTGAAGACAACGGCCTTGGATTCATCTTGGAACGCCAAGCATGGAATTATCCCCCACTGTAGTATCACAACGCCAACGACAAAGCACCCCAGCATGAACTGACCCAAGATTTGCGCCGAGTGAGCGTCACAGCTCAATGCGATGGCAGCACTGATGCTGTCTTGGTAGGCATCCAAGTAGCCGGCGCATGAAAGTCCGAACTTCCATAGAAAGTTCAGGGGTGACAGCTCTTCGTCTAAACTAGTATCACGCATGTAGAGGAAGAACTCGAAAGCCTTTGTTGCGACAAACAGCATGAGGAATGGCATGTGCATCTCCCACAAAAAGCCCGCCTCACAGTCAAGACCACCATAGTTGAAGGATGCCACAGGAATCAATGTGCAGCAAACCACATAAAGGCACAAGAACACAACCAGTGCAAAGTCGCGGCACGCAACAAATCGCGGATGCTCCGATTGCTGAGCCAGCCCCTTGTTCTGGCAAAGGCCTTTCACCGCAATGCACAAAGCAAGAACTGCCACAACGCCACAGCCTCCTGCAATAATTCCTGACAAGCTGGCGCTCAAAAGAATGATGAGTTTGGGATGCATGTTCTTTCCTACAGGCAAATCATACACGATCCCTATTCCCCAATGCTATTTCCACCCCGAAGTTCAGAACCCAAAGGAAACTTAAATCATGTACAAAAGTCAAATGCATTCTTGCAAGAAATCAGGGCACCTTGAAACAACATCCCTCTGGATGTCAGGTCGTCCCGACTGGTGCTACCAAATGAAGTCTCATTCGCCAACGTCTCATTCGACAATGCCATAGCGAGAGCAAGGCTGTAGCTATGCGCTGAAAGTCCCTTTGTTCGAGCAAATATGCAAGTGGATGAAAAGTTTCAGTTTCTCGCCATCTCCTACCTTTAGGCAGAAGCATGGCCTTGTAGGATATACGGTTGAACACCAGAACACAGTTGAAAAAGCGTGCTCTGACGTGGTTTCTCAGGTCATTAACAATATTCATGCATACATGCCAAAGTTAGTTGCTGGGCTTCCAGACTGTTAAGTCAAAAGCTCGAGCTTGACCATGAACGAGAGGCACCGATCCCCACAGGAGAAAATCAACCACAGCTCCTCACTTAAAGCCTGTCTAAAGCCCGTCGTCATCGACGACACACATGTATACCTGAGAAGGGGGGGGACGAAAGCCAGCAGCCGCCAGACGAGTGTCTCGTTTTCTGGTGGGCGTCGCGGCACAAGACACATGGTCGGCAGCTTGCGAGTCAGCGATGCCGCGGATGCGGGGGGACGTATGAATTGGTGATTGAGGGAGCAGAGAAGCAAGCCGGGCGGCTTTGGGATAAGATTGGTATGAAAGACCTAGTGAAAGAGAAGTGCGATACGTTGTATGTTGGGGTAGGTCACCATCACTCACAAGGCAATGGCATGTGTTTGTCACACGCAGGAAGGCATGCATCTTATGGAAGTTGGAAGGCGACATCAGCGTTAGCGAAGGGATACCGTCTAAGTTCGAGTGGTGGGATACCACGTGCGCGCATCACTCGCATCACCAGACCCCATTTTCACTGCTTTTCTGACCCTCGCTTTGGAGCGCACCAGCTCCGGGTTCACCCTCTCAAAATGTCCCTCTCAACGACCACCACCCCGGACACCCCCTTAACTCACTTCGTTCGCTCTAAAAGCTCAAGCCTAGCCTATCGGCTGGCTTTCGTAATATATGTACGTCAGTATGCATTTGTATCAGAGCCTTAGATTAGCTCTCCAACCGGTTGCCAATTCAATCCGCAACTCCAACGGGCACTTGCGCAGTTGCTGCGTAGTGAACGGCACCAAATGCTCCTTTGTGCAAGGAAGTAGAACCAGGAGGCTAACAGTGATCAACAAGAATAAATGCTGAAAGGAGTGGGCGCCGCTACCTGGGTTGTCTGAGCTATGCCAATGTAGTACGGTATTGTGGCTGACACAGGGACTCTTGTAAGCCATGCTAAATGGTCAACAATCACAGTAGCGACTCTGTGAGATCCTGGCTGTTGGGGATGTTTGAGTGGTGCAAGAGTTGACTGGCTGTGGGCAATGGGCTATGATCAGGATTGGAAGCACCAATCCATTTTCAGCGGTCCTAACGATGCATAGCTAATTTATCTGTTTGCTTCTGATGTCTATCAATAGTGATGCTGTCTTTTTTAAGTTAAGTGTTCTCCATGGCAATATTGACGAGAAACAACAGCATAATCATTCAAGAATTCACAAGCTTCCTCATGTTGAGCTCCGCTGTGAAGTGCCACCAGGTGCTTTGCCAATTTGTAGTCTCTCTCAGGATCTCTGACATCCTGCAGGCACGCTGGACATTCCAACTCCCAGATATATATATATATATATATCATATAAACTAAAACCACAAGCTCCTTGACCAGGAACATCATGTCGAAACGGGACAGGATAGTCGTTTGAAAATCCATCTGCGCAGGTCAAACAAACTTTTCACTGAAAACCCTGGATTGCTGTGTGGTCATGCACTCTCGCTGAAAGCCAAGTGTTGCAGGCCTGATCCGCCGTGTTTGAAAGGTCGTCGTAGGACCCAAAGCGCGGATTGGCAGCAGCCAGCACACTGACAGCGTGAAAAAAATTCTGCCTTGATTGGCATTTCTATAAGTTTTATTGAAAGCCATTCCTCCTCCCATCAGCTGTAGAATGCTGACATGTTTGTTTGAGGGAAGGCATGGACTCAGCAAATCTCCAGCCTGCAGCGAGTGTTGAGCCTTCAATCGAGTTCTTTGCAGGGAATAAGAACATGAGCCGACAAAAAGAACAGGAGTTGCATTCGAGTTCAAAAAGAACTCGTCTTTCAACACTCCGGAATGTGCGCTAAAGGCAAGGTGCATGGTCGTCATGCCAGCTTTTGCAATGGAGATCGTCTGCTGCTCCATAGCCTGCTTGGAAGCAAAACAAGAATATCTTTGGAGAATTGGTCCCGATCAATCTGGTCACAGAAGGTGAATATGCAGCACACATATGCAATGTAACATATTGCATACTCTTCACTTTAAGCAGATCTGTAGTGCCAATGAAAGCTCCTAAAAATGAAGCTAAAGCTCCTCTACACGTATCACATGGTACCACATGTCAACGTACAAGCCTCATGGATTGAAACACGGTCTTTCTCATCCATTTTGTCGAACTCATCGATGCACACCAGGCCATTGTCAGCAAGTACCATCGCACCGCCTTATTCATCTCTAACATTTGAAGAAAACAAGACCGCACTTGGATGTCAAAAGAAATACAGTATTCCACACCTTCCAGTGTGAAACCTCCCCCATCCTTGACGATCGCTGCCTAGAAATGAAGAAGGGCCCACTTTTCATCAAAATTAAATCAGGTGTCCCTAACAGTTTCATCAGGAGCTCGGTTTCTGTGCTTCTGACAGTCAGCCCTGCAGCACTGCTGCCCTTTCCGCTTGTATACCTGAAGGCTGCAGGACATGTGGCGCATGTGACCAGTCTTGACATATTGCCGTTGGTCCCAACGAGCGCACACGGCAATGGGTGCAACTTGGTGGGCGAACTTCAAGAACTGAGGCGCAGGTGTATCCGCAGCGAAGTTCGCAGGTGCACAAGAAACATATAGTACAAGTAGTATTGTATGTATGTATTTATGCATGCGTGCATGTATGATCATGTATGTATCACATCTACTGAAGATGTGTGTATAAGTATGTATGTATCGTTGCAAAAATTACACCACCGTAGACCCCAAACAGATTGCGTTTTTCAAGTCGGAACACCTGCAACTAGAGTTTGCGACGTCCAGAGCTGGGAGACATATGTAAGTGACAAGTGCAATCAGAGGCGGACAGAGCAGTCCAGAACTGGGAGACACATGTAAAGGATTGCAAGGCAGAGGCGGACACAGCAGCCCAGAGCTGGGAGACACATGTAGAGGGTTCTTGTTGGTCCTTGTCTCCCTTCGGTCTCCTTTTGTCTCCCTTCTTGTCTCCGGTCTTGCCTCCCTTCTTGTTGGTCACTGTGTCGGCTTGGCTTTCTTCTGTTTCCTTTTGTCTCCCTTCTTGTCTCCCTTCTTGTTGCGCGGCGCCAACCGAACCTGGGAGACAAAAGTAAAGAAATCCCATGGGGTACAAATGAGTAGAAATGCTGCATGGCCAGCGGAAAGGGCGGACACCAGCAGTGCAGGCACGGAACCTGGGAAACAAAAATAAACAAATCACATGGGAGACAAGGGAATAGAAATGCTGCATGGCCAGCGGAAAAGGGCGGACACCAGCAGTGACAGACCTGGGAGACAAACGAATAGAAATGCTACGTGGCCAGCGGAAAAGGACGGACACCAGCAGTGACAGACCTGGGAAACAAATGAAGAGAAATGCTACATGGCCAACGGAAAAGGGCGAACACTACCAGTGATACAAAGGGCGGACTCGTCTTAAGAAAGAATTGAGAACCCCTAACAGTAAACTGTTTGGGAAAAAGTGTCTTAAATGCCACTATTTACTATATTTATCTGTACGTATAGTCGGTGCCAACAGTCTCACACTCAGGGTCCTCCTGACTCTTGGCCGCCCACCTGACTCTTTGCAGTTCCAGGATCTCCCAACAGCAAGACATTGATGTCACCTGCCGGGTCCGTCCCTCCGCTCCATCTGCTCCGTCTCCGGTCCGTCCCAGCGGTGAAACCCCCCCACCGCGCAGGCGATTGCCGCTCGGCAGCAGCTTCCGCGCACCCCCGAAGAGCTGACCTCCGCGAGAAGAAAGCGCGCGCGCTGACCGGTGACGTCGCCGCGTTTGGATGTTTCCCTGCTGTGACGTCGAACATGGTTCAATATGTTGCGTTCATATGTTGCGTTCGATTTGGCCAGGGAAATGACAATGACTCACTCATCTGGGTATGGATTGAATATTGGATCCAGTAAAACATTAATTATTTGAAACAAGTTGAAACAAGTGTCGAAAACCTACGGATCTCTGAGTGCTAACTTTTTGGGCCATAGCCATAGCCTAATAGCAGTAGCAGCAGTCACAATCTTCTGTATCTAAGATGCCCGCAAGCAATTGCCCGCTTCACTTGGTTGATGGAGTCCTGCAGAACAAAGACAAACAATCCTGAGAATCGCCAAGAAAAAAACAAAACCATCTTTCGGGGACCGAATAAGCGAGCCCATGGCGGCTAATGTTCCTGTACAACATCTGAGCAGTCGCTGTCATTTGCAAGAATGTGTTTTGGGTCTGGCTACTGGGCTGCTAACTACTCGTTTGCAAAGGCTTCGCAAGCGAGAAAACTGCTCGGGTGTGCTCCTTCTCACTGGCACAAATGGCTGGTGCGATGGACCTTGAGCATCAGTGAGATTTGGAAGGACAAGATGCTCACCCTCCAGGCGCACTTGAAGATCATCTCCCTGATCTCAGGATCCTAAATCGCACGAGAAGTATATGATTCTGTTCAAGGCTTCTTTTTCATCCAAAATGCATCACAACCAATGTCCTTGGCCATGTGGTCAAACTGCTCCTCCTCATCCTTCGTGATCTCCAGAGCACCCTTGAAAGGTTCAAATTGGGTTCATGTAGAACCTTTGGCCTCTGAATTGAAGTACTTGTCAGAACCATTGAAAAACACATATGAAAACGATTGAAAACGGCAGCCAGCCTGCCCCTGGTTCCCTTGCGCCAATTGTAGGCCAAGCACCTCACGGCAAACTGCGATTTTGGAATCTGCGACACCACGTGCAGCTGTGCGTCGAGGCGAGTGCGGCACAGTCGTTGCGAGCCGAGGGTGGAACTTGAATGTAGGAGTACTTCACGGTGTTGGTGCCCTGATTCCTGCACTCGGGGCCCTTTTTTTGATTCTATTCAACGGCCACGTAAGAGCGTGGCAAGGCCAGAGAACCCCACATTCACAGAAACATGTTTTGCAGGGCTCCAGTCCTACCCCGTGACAGTTTGTCTCCAGCAGCCCTTTCAGTGGCGCAGAAGATTCCTCACCAAGATCAGAGTATCAGGACAGTGTCAGCAAACATAGACTTGCACAAACATCTCTAATATACACCTGCATCAAACTCGAAAACATGGCCATCGGCTATCGAACATGAATATACACATCCATACAATCCATACTCGTCGAGTCGATACATCTCTGTACTGTTGACGCATGGCTTCCGATGCCGGGCACCTGTCTAAACCCCCTCTCTGCGTGCCAGCTCAGCGTCCGATGCAGGTCAGTCGGGTCCCAGGAGTGCACCTGTCCACATCATACCTGAAGTGAAAACACACACACTGATCTTGTTACACCCAGTCATAATGAGTCAGCTGGGTCATGTATATAAATAATGAATATATAATTTCTTATTGTTCATTCGACGATATTCTACATGTTTTACAGAAACGTCAGGGTCACGCCGTGACTCAAAAGTTAACCAAACACGTTGTTCAGTCGCTCATTAATTAAGTCGCCCTCGCAACCTACACCTAATCTGCACCGCGGCCAATTTCAACTCTGGGCAGCCTCCATTTCCACGAGCAACAACAGAAGTCAGGGCACATTTGGGCACAAAGCTCGATGCTGCGTGGCATCTCTCCAACCGGAACCTGCAAGATGCAGTGACTGGGATGGCTGCAATCGAGGGTCTGACTGGAGTTTTGGCACCTTTTCTTTTGGATTGAAGCGCATTTACAATGACAGAATATTTGGCACAGTAAGCTATATACGTAAAGTAACATATTTTCGCGGGGTTGCCCAAAACGGAAAGGACACATAAAGCCCAACCAATGGCTCCCTTCTGGCGCACATGCTCTGGTAGCTCTTGCAAGCGGATGGACTGGTCTGGGGCGTACTCACAAAGGTCTCCAACGGCTACCTGGCCCAACTTGTGCCCTTTCGGACCTCTCGGGAGTCCATTTTGCCACGGTTTGGAGGTGACCCGGTCAGCTTTCAGCCGCTCGGACTAGACTCGAGTTGACACAAGTTGCCGGTCGACTTCTGGCATTCAAAGCCAGCTGTGTATGTCAGTGTTCTTTTGCAACGAGACCACTTAGACTCAGACTTGAGTTGAGAATGGTGTTTGCAATGAATGTAAAACGTCAAAACTTCTTTGCTTGTTTGCGCTCCCTCACTGGTTAGCACTGACAACCCCTGATTCTGAGTTGCTCTACATCCTGTGTGAGGCTCAAGCTCTTCCCACTCTGGTGATCAATAAAAAGATATCAACGTGAACAAGGGATGTATATTGGCGGTCGAAGGAGCACGCTTCAAGAAATTCCAGCTTAAGCTCGCACGGGTGCACGAAGGAATTCTGAGGGCACTTCTCATAGTTCCTCAGCAGAGCAAGGAAGTTGCAGGGCTGACTGGGAGACAGAGTCAGCAATGTTCCGCACCATTTATCGGCACATATATAATGTCAGTATGAGATCAAAGCATCAGCCCTTGCGACCCCTTGCTACCAGCTTCACAAGAACATTGTCCAAAATGACCTCACCCTTTGGCCTTTAATTGACCTTCATTCACAACCAAAAAAAGAATGATCCACTCCCTGTACTTCAAAAAATCCAAGAATAGAACATCTCCACCCAAAGCATGGCTTCTACTGGTAACAAGAAGCTACTAGTAGCTCCTGGCATTACTAGGAACAAGGGGACACTACTAGTAGCTCTCAGTCTGGGCGACTCGGCGACTCGGCTGGGCTCTGTAAGGCGCTGAGTCGTTGGCCCATTCCGCAAGGCGCTTCCTTTGCAGCCCGACGGAACGTGAGCGGCCGTGAAGCCACTCTCCACGGTGACCTCGGTGCTCTCAGGAACGGGTGGCATGACAAGGTGATGTTGATGGATGGCTTCTTCTTATATAATATATGATATACAGTATCATATATTTGTATATTTTTATATGCAAAACAACATGATAAGGAACTCAGAAGTCAAAAAGAAACGTGGCCTCTTCCACATTCTCACAGTTGCTGCACTTCAGCACCACTTTGCGAACCTCGCCGGCGGCTCCACCGGTTCCCGGTGATGTCACCGAACGTCGTCCCTCGCCGCGGTGTCTCCAGCGGCTCCTTGTCTCGAGGTGTCTTCACCGAGGCCACGATGCCTTGAATCACCACCAGCTTTTCGACCTGCGAGGTCAGCAGTGCCGAGGAACGAAAGGCGTGCCGATTCTGGGAAAGAATGGAGAACGGGTAGAACGGGTAGCCCATGCTAGTTGCTTAACATAGACTTGTTAATACATACCAGTAGGCTATGGATAACCCATTCTGCTTCCTTTGGAGCCCAACAGGCTTTGCGAATGAATGCTGACCGAACCTGGTCGGAGGTGAGATCGCGAATCCTGACAGCAAGGACGCGAGTTCGTCGAGAGGTTCCCTCGACGGAGTTCCAGGACCAGGTTTGGCGCTCTGATTGGCATTTCTGACATGTTTGATGGAACCAAATATAGCTTTTAACCCAATAGCGATGGCCTCAACCCTAGTCGTGATGGCCTCCAACCCTAGCCGTGATGCAACCTATTAGCCAAGAGTTGCTGAGATTCAAACATCTTCGGCTTTGTGGTTCCAAGTGTGCCTGAGCAAAATCCAATTCAAAAAACACTTCAATGTTCGCAAAGCCGAGCGCGTGCATCAATCTGAGCCGCTCAGTTGGGTTGAAACAACGAGTGGTCGCAGTGGTTCCGAAGCGTTGAACGAATCGAACTCAGTCAGAGCGCCATCCAAGTTGGCGTCAGTCTTGAGAGCAAGCTGCATCAAGGGCACCTTGACTTGGCAACAAAAGCGAAGCGACGACTTGGCGAAAAAAAAAAAAGGAAAGAACAAGCATCTTCTGACTTCGGGGGGCACGAGCAGCGACTTGAGAGAAACTCGTGGATCACAAGCTCCGATGCTGTGGGTTAATAAATAGCTTTGTCCATGAATGTAAAACCTCCGAAGATCATCTTAGATCTCACCAGTGCAGGGCCTTGAACGGTGGCTTTTGATCTGAATGATCCCACCGGCCTTGCCGGGGACATCTTCCTCTTGGATAAATTCTCGGTACAAGTCCTGAAGGCATCAGAATTGAGATTTCTGCCAAAGAATTATGGGTAGAGCCGTCATGCACAAAGCAGGTGATGTAGCAGTAGAGCGCAGCAAGTAATCAAATGAATAAAACGACGGTCGGACGTTGCCATGCGGCTTCATCAATGAACAAATCAGAAGGATGATAATAAGATACTGAGAACAAACAGAAGATCTCGTCTGATTGACCGGCTGGGGTGTGTTGATTGCATGGAAAGAAACAACGCGCGTACACACACGCACACACACACACATCAGCATTCCTTCAAGATCGCTCCATGACCATCTTGCTACACATACCATGCATGCAGTAAGAATAGTTCGAAGACCAAGTGGAAGCAACCAAAGATTCTGAATCCAGATACCACAAGGCCATGTCCAGTCGTGCTGGTGCAGACATGCATGTCTCGCCCATCGCAGTCAGTCTTGCATGTCGCCCTCGCGCTGCCCAGGCCCCCAGGTGACCGTCTTCCCTCCCCTGAGAGCCTGGAGAGCCTTTTCACAAAGCTTCACAAACTCTGTTGGTCCTGGGCACGCGACGCCCTGGACCGGAGACATCACGTTGCCACTCGAGCCGCGGAGTTGCATCAGCCGGTGGGAGCCACCGGCGGCTCGCCAAAACCGAGCCAAATAGCCGTCCCAAACCCCAGCGCACTGGGGTCCATGCTGTTGATGAGATTGTGGTGCAGAATCACGCCATCCTGTCCGAAAGATAGACCAAAAGCAAATATTTGCAAAGATTGTAGAATAATCACGAATATTATATTACTCTACAGACTCTACATATTTATTGGCATGGGCTTCAAGAAACTGAACTAGTGTAGGGAAGTGTCAAACGAAGGCAGCCACTGATCCAATCGAGGATTTCAGCGGTCCCTCAGGCCTCACTCTCGCTGAAATCGTTCATGCTCACCTGCGGGGCAGTGTTCAAAGCTGCGCTGGTCTTGCTTTAAATGGGTCAGAAATGGTCAGAACACTCACCCTGCAGAGCTCGCTCTTTTTTTTCCGGAGTACAACCTTCGCATCCCAGGATCATAGCGGCACATTCGTGACCTGATCGAAGTCAGGAGTTTTGCTCAGGTCCGGAGCCGATCGAAGTCGGGTTCGCTTCGGACACGGAGAAACCACCTGAGCGGTGTCAAAAACCATCCGGAACTTTTATTAAGATTATAACAGCCTCTCGCCAATCCCTTCGCAACGCTTTCGCGGCTGCATGTTTTGCTTTCGCCGACCCACTTCACCCGACAACCTCTTTAGCTAACCCTTTCGCCGAGTTTCTGCTACTTACATCTAAGAAAAGTATCAGCATGTATCAGCAAAGGGGAATCATTCCTAATCTGCAACCACTGCTTTCGCCACATCTTCGCGAACCTTTCGCCAACCTTTCGCCTGGTTATCATGAATCTTTGGATGACATGCTTTGTACTGAAAACCTCTTCGCCAACCCTTTCGCAACAAAATCCATTCATCAAAAAATCAGAGCCTTCTCCAAACCTTTCGCCAAGCTTTCCCCAACTGCAGTTTTCCTTTCGCACAGATTCATAATCTTAAGTCCTACCTAAATTCTTTCATAGAGGTTTATGACGTTGCTCACCTGAGGGAAGACTGTATGCCATGTATGCTAAGCATTCGACCTTTGTGGACGCAGTCTGGCAGGGATGCTCCCACCTGAAGCCGGCTTTTGGATGTGCAAGTTCGAAGGACTTCTACTACTATCCAGTCCTGTTGTATAGCTCAAGCCGCATGGCTGTGGACCCTGGACCCACCAACATGAACCAAACACTGTACCCGCCGGGATGTCAAGTGTTCCCATGCTATTATGTATGTGGCGCGCTGTGGTATTGACCCACAGTCACACGACAGATGGATCCAAGCCGATCGCCCAAAGCCCTAATTGGCTGAGGCCCGGGCAAGTACTCGGGACAAAAAGCCACCCACAAAGGCATCTCCCGCTCCATTGGTGTCGATGATGCTCGTCACCCTTATGGAGGTGCCAGCTAGCTTCTTCTGATATCGCGTGAGGTCATGTCCAAATTCCAACGCCATCACCATCGACCTATTTGGAGACACGATTGTCACTCAAAAAAAGCGCCTAAGTGGTCGTGGTCGATTCTGTTTCTGTGGATGTCCAGAAGGCAAAAGGACATAAAAGGACTGGATGTTCACGTTGGTTTAACAGTAAGAGTTATATAGTTGAAAAGAGATGCTGCTAGAATCCGCTAGGTCTGAAATGTGGGACGTCCCTGAGCTCAACTGCGACGTTGCATCCCGTTACACGTTCCCCTAGAACACCCTCTCCTAAACCGTGTCCACACCTTTAAAGGGTTAGCTGAAGAATCCGTTTCTGTCGGTGTTGTTCGTGTCCACTGAACATGCCTTCTTTCAAATTCATGTCATTGTTTGCTTTCAAATATACAATTTCTATCAATTTCTTTGTCCTGTCCAATTTGATCTACAACTCTTCAAATTGAAGATTAATTGTTTCTTCAGCTTCATGCTTCTTCGAGTCCGCTGTAAAAAAAGAAGTCGAATTGAGACGAGCATCTTTGGGACAGGAAATAGCTGAACCTCCCCTCGGTGTGCCACCATGGTCGGGTGAGCGCCTGCCGTCACCACCGCAAATCCCTCCGGCTGCAGCATGGCCACAAGTCGTCGAATGAGTTCGACCGGCTCCGGATCTGACCAACCTAGTAGCTTGGCCCAAGCTTGCAGTTCTGCAGAGTTTGAGAAGAGATAGTGAGACTTGGGCAAGAGTTCGATTAAGGCATCCTTTACACGAGGCAGAAGTCCGGCTGAGGACAGGTTCATACACAGCCAAGCTCCTTTGTCAAAAGCACTTTGTGCCAAAGCTTGTGCAGCTGCTAGTCGAGGTTGAGATGTTAGCACAAAAGAGGTGATGTATATCATGGAAGCCTCCTTCACTAAACAGGACACCTGAGGCATTTCCAGCCACGCTACATCAAGCATTGACGCTGCGGCCCTCACCATTGACAACGTCCGGTCCCGAGTGTGGCCGTCCACCAACACACCGCACACACCAGTCTTGCCAGGCACCTTCTTCAGCAATGGAAGAATCCCAGCATCCTCCAAGACCTGCTGAATCAGCAACCCCCCTGAGTCAGTTCCTATTGCACCAATGAAAGCAGCTCGCCGATGTCCTGCCCATGAAGCCACTCTTAGCGCATTCATCGCCGCCCCCCCCCGCGCAAGTTCGCGCACCTGCATGGTGCTGGGCCATCTCGGCCAGCGCGAGTTTCTGCGCATCGTCGAAGCCGGTGGCTTCAGAGCCCACGGAGAGGCCGAAGTTCTGGAGCGCAGCTTCTAAGTCTTCGATGACCGCAATTACATCAACCGTTGGGTTGCCCAAAGCAAGCAGCAGGGGAGGTAAATGACCAAACAGTGACTCCCAGAGCTCAGTTTCGTGCAGAGATTCCAGGCTTGGAAGTCGAAGATCCGCAGAGGCGAAGACCTCTTCAGCCGCTGCATCTCCAACCATCCAGCTTTCAGGAACGGCGATCGTGAAGCAACCAGCTGCTTTTGCGGAACATATCCCAGATGGAGCATCCTCGAAGACCACACATTCACTGGCCTTCAGTCCGAGAATTTCTGCGCAAACTTGGTACACCTGAAATACAGGCGGGTTCATGAAAAATGCAACGTTAACAACATATAATAACAAAACGTAGAACATGGTAAAACCCAGAGTAAATCAGTAAATCCTGAAAACCATCGACCCTGAGACTTGGAATCCTAAACTGTCCCCTAAACTGTGAGGCTCTTCAAACCGGAATCGGACCGGCCTCTGGGTCAGGCTTTCCTTTCATCTGCTGGCCGTTGCGTGGATCGATGGCTCCAACCACTCGCACCTCGACTGCAAGATGAACGCATGTTTGATGGATTGCAGCCAGCATGTAGGGAGAGTCCAAACATGCACAGCACAGTGATATCCCCAACTATGTGGCTGACATATCATTTGCATTCATTTGCTCAAACCTGTTCAATTCTTGCTCCTGGAAGCCTTCAGCTCTTCCAGGCGAACTGCTACACATGCCCCTTCAGGCTGTCCAACCAAAGCCCTAGAACCTCCATCACCGAAACCCACGCGTCCAATGGGCATCCTGTCTCCCGGATTCTGTTCCATCACGTATCCATGATACCCTCTGCCTTGAGCCCTTCCAACAAGTCGGTGAGATCACTGCGCAACTCCATCAACGCCTCCAGACCATCACCTCGCTCAACCGCGGTCCGACCGGAAAGGAACCTGGAGGGATCGTGAGATGCGGAGGGATCGAACTCGCTTCGTTCGTTAAGCCGAAAGCAAAAGCCATCAACTCAGAGGGGGTGTCAAGGAAGGTCTCCTTATTTTCCAAGGAGATGGATGTCCATTTTGTTGCCAAGGAAACATATGCAATCATATGCAAAGTATGTGATAGTACAACGTGAACAATATAAGTATGACAATGATTTATGATATGAATTTACATTCACATGGTGCTTGCAACATTTGATGTTGCGGTGCAATCAGAGAGACCTCAAGTTAAGCGGTCATCCTTAACGGTACAAGCACAGTACAAGTCAATACAGAGCTCGACATGTCAAGCCGCGAGGTTTGTGTTTTGAGATCCCTTAGCATGCACTTCTTGCGATGCAGGTGACTTCTCCGGCTGGTACACAAGGCAAGGGGAATCTGCAGTGTCCGCAAGCGCTGGACGAGGGCCACTGCACCTGCTTTGATGGTCATACCTTAGACTTGGGAGAGAGGCAAACTAGGTGCAAATGATTGAACATCCACAGTTGCTCCACATTCACTGGATTGTGGGGCGTTGGCCTTTGGACTGAAAAATCTTCAAAAATGCTGAGCGGCGTTCTGCGACAAATTTGCTATACCTTAGTACATCAGTGACGCCATTCTCCCGTTACTCGTCTGATTGGCCACGTGGCCCTCAAACAAGTCGCATCACTGTCATCACTTCATCAATTCGGATTCTCCGATCTCCACTCATCACCGATGTCTCCAAGGACCGTCAGGACCGTCAGGACCGTCTGTCAGACCGCTTAGTGCCCCGCTCCGAGGCACTCCGGTGAAGTGAGTCTTGAGGGCAACACCTCCAGCAGCTCCGCTCTTCGGACCTCCGAGACCTCCAGGAGCTCCAGGCACCGCTGGGGGAAGAACTTCACCGTACCTGGGGGAACGAAGCGAAGCCGCAAGTGATCGAAGCGAAGCCGCAAGCGAACAGCAGGGCCGCCATGATCTTGGAGGCCGACCATCTACCACACAGGGATTCCTCCATGAATGTTCAAATAATAGACCTTTTTAGGGAGATCGCCCCCCTGGAAGGTTTGGGAAATAGACCAAGAACCCATTGGGCGAGCGGGGTCTTCCTATCAAAATACACATGCATGTGGAATGACACGACCGCAAGATAGCCGAGCAAATCAGTCACGATGGTCCAGTGTGACGAACGAAGCCAGGCACGTGTTTTGAGCTCGACCAGTGCCACAAAAAGTCAGAAACAACAACAACAACAACAACAACAACAACAACAACCACAACCACAACCACAACCACAACAACGACAACGACAACCGCAACGACAACCGCAACCGCAACCGCAACGACAACGACAACGACGACAACAACAACCACCACAACAACCACAACCACAACCGACAAGAACAACAACAACCACAACCATAACCACAACCACAACCACAACCACAACAACCACCACAACAACAACCACAACCACAACCACAACAATAACGACAACAACCACAACCACAACCACACCCACAACAAAGACGACAACATCATTTACAACAACCACAACTGCAACCACAACAAGGATGACAACGACAACAACAACAACATTAACAACCACAACCACAACCACAACAAAAACGACAACAAAAACAACCACAACCACAACAACTACCACAACGACAACATACAACAACCACAGCCTCACGACCACAACCACAATCACAACAACGACAACCACAACAAAAGCAACCACAACAACGACGACCACAACCACAACAACCACAACAACCACAACAGCCACAACAACCACAACAACAACAACAACCACAACAACCACAACAACAACAACCCCAACAACCACAACAACTGCCACAACAACGACAACCACAACAAAAGCAACCACAACAACGACGACCACAACCACAACAACCACAACAACGACAACAACATAAACAACAACAACAACAACAACAACAACAACAACAACAACAACAACAA